AGTTTCATTAAAACACTCAAATTCACTCTGTATAAATTATTATGGGTAAAAGAGGAAATCGTCGAGAGCCAAACCTTGAATTTTGTCATTTTTATTATACGCAAATTTGTTGTTGTCCATATCGCACGATATTTGCTAATGCGCGACAACACTATTTTTAGTAAATACCTATCCCACCAAAAACATTCTGTAAAAAACTAGCCAAGTCTCGATGGAGCTGCTTGTTTATCTCTTAAAAGTAATGAAATCTAGAAAAAGTCGTGCCAAGTCTAAGGCTCCTTACTGCGATTTCTTTATTATTATAGTTAATGTTGTGTGACTTGGCTGTTGAAAGGTACACAAGGGTACAAAACCAAGTGCTACATTACATCATTGCACTAATCTGTCGCCAGAACCGCTACCTATTGACGATGGAATATTGCTACTTGGAAAACGTTGATTGAATAACCAGTCAATTGTAGCTTGATTGATAAAGGTGCGTTTACACGTAATGTTGCATGTATGAATGCATCGGTGCAAATTTCTGCGTTCTTGTCTTATCCAGAGGTTCTCAATTAGGGGCCTGAAAATGCGGCGAAATGGTTCCAGTAAAGGATGGTACGGCAGTGTTTGCTTCGCGCTCGACTTGGCGGGGGCACTGCCGTGCCCCCCGATTTCTCAAACGCCTCTCAGCTCGCGTCCGCTCATAATGAAAACTACATATATTTTGCCGTTTGGTGTTGAGAGTATGGGCCAATGGAGTCCAAGCACTCTTTCCCATTTTAAGGAACTGTCAAAGAAGCCCACTGATGTGACTGGTGATCAATAGGCTGGCAGCTATTTCGGTCAACGGATCAGCCTCGCTATCCAACGTGGCAATGCTGCCAGCCTTTTGGGCACCATTCCTTACGGCGGCGCTGGGGGTGACATATTTTTTTGTTTTGTAAAATATTTATTTAAGTAGGTTAAGGTAATTTATTTGGATACTAAGTTATGTTTTTATTTATTTTTAAGCATTTGACTGCTAGATGTTTAAATCAAAAAGAAAAGTTTATTAGAAAAAAAATTCCACGCAGACCAGGCAGCGGACGGGACTCGAACTCGCACCCTTCGCAATCCGGGCGAATGCACTGACCAATTATGCTACCACGGCCCTCATGGCCGCGTCGAAATTTTCCTAGCCTTAAGCTGCAAGGCAGCGCCATCTCTTCGCATTGTAGGTAACCCACAATGTCAAATGAATACTAAATTTTTTTCTAGTAAAACTTTTCTTTGGATACTAAGTGCTTTTTAAGTTTTTCTCTAATGTTTCAAAACAATATAAATAAACAAAATAAAAGCATTATATAAATTCATTACCCTAAAAATCTTATTTAACTAATGAAGATCTAATATAATAGATTATTTAATGTTTTGTTTCATCGTTCTTGAATTGCTTTTGAAATTCGGAAGCATTTTGCTTATAGCCGACTCCTTTAGGTATGAAATAGCGACAAAGCATAGCTACACAAATTACGTTACACAGTTTTCAGTGCAGGGCTTTGTTCACACGTCAACACAGCATTTTTTGTATGCACATTAACCAGAACAAGGGTTGCCAATTTCGTAATACACGTACCCATATAAAAAAACTCCACCTTACACAAGACTGTCTACTACACAGTAAAATACCGTTAATGTTTGGTGTTGTTATATTTTTCTAGGGCCCCATAGGGGTAAGGGAATGAAGTTAGCTTTGCTGCCGCATAAATCTTTGCATTCCAAGATGTGCCATGGCTTGCATAAAAATATTTGCAATAGGGTATTTGACAAGTTTTAGAAAACGATCTCACGTTATTGACTAATGTTTACGGAGTTCGTAAAAAGTGGATATTCATCATTCTGTTGTGTATTTCAGTAAAAATAACCAAATCAAAAACTCCATTTTCAAGTTGCCGCGAAAACGTTTTTCTGAACAATATGGCGTCTTACTAGTGTGTGACGTCACACGACTGTTATTAAAACATCAAACGATACAACGTAATGTCACTTTAACCGTAAGTTTACTTGCGTGTGACGTCATTTTAGGCTCCGCCAATTCCAAGCGTTTTGGGTCACGTGACAATAGATAAGAAAACTATTATCTTTTTCGTGGGTTTTTAGTTAAATTATGAATATTTTGTTTGTAAAAATAGTAAATACCCCTGCCAATATTCATTCTAAACACAGATGCTAACAATTGGCATTTTATTTTTAATACTGTCAAATACCCTTTCCAAAAACATATTCATTACAGTATCTTCACCCATTTATCAAAGCACTAACGGCCGCCCGCGTCTTGGTCCGCGTTAGCTTTTATTTTTAATTGAGATCCCGAAATATGAAGTAAGTATCCTATGTCTCATTGCAGGTCATGAGCTATCCTCGTATGTGTACCAAATATCATCCAAAGTTCTGCCATTCTTGTAGGATTGTGTTACAAACATTCAAACTTTGACATTTATAATATTACTAGCCGTGCCCCGCGGTTTCACCCGCGTTTTTCTCTTTTCCGTGGAAATACCGAGATAAAATATATAGGTACCAACTCTTAACATCTTACACACGTGATAACTTTTAAACGAAATATCCGATTGAGATGAAACAAAAAGCATTTTACTTCTACATAAATACTCTTGATAACACAATGCTTAATTTCGATAAAGATTAATATTACGATACACATTTAACGTAGTTTTTTTTCTTTAGACGATTTAATAATTATTTTGAACACAAAATCGGTGATTGTGATTAAACCATGATAGCTAGATATATGTTCTTGTGAACTTTTTTGTAGGTCTTAATGGGATCTACAAACCCGTAGTACATCATTTTGTTCTATTGTCAATAGTTTTTGCAGCGCACACAAAAATAGGTTTTCGATTTTACACCTTGTGTTACAAAATAGCAATTTTATTATGGATCCCTAATTTAAAAAAATATATATATCCTATAGCCTTCCTCGATAAATGGACTACCCAACACTGAAAGAATCATTCAAATCGGACCAGTAGTTCCAGAGATTAGCGCGTTCAAACAAACAAACAAACAAACAAACTCTGCAGCTTTATAATATTAAGTATAGATTGGGATCTTACTGCACATTTTTACTCGTATGTTTTTTTGTTGGTAATTTGCAACCTTCCATCGTAGTTAAATCGTGTCTGTGATGCGTTGGCACCCCTACAGCAAAATCCTGCACATTTTTACGTGTTATTTTCCGCGGTGTTCTTAGAAAAAGTGTTTTTAAACAGCGCCGATGTCGAGCCCGCGTCTAAACAGCGCGCGGGGCCACTCCGCTTCAAAGAGGCCGCGTTTTGCATAACTTTGTTCAAAAACTGCATTAAATAAATTACTTTCGGGCAAGGCTTGGGTTGTGCGCTCCCGTTATGACATTACAAAAGCTATTGAGCTTGGGGATCATGTTGAGTTTATTTTCTTAAACAAGACTATGTTTATAGAAACAAATTTTAAAACGATAAAGAGTAAAGTTTTCTAATTTGGCAACAAAGCATCTATAAGCTGTATTTGAAATATTTTTGGTAATGTTTAAAGGCGGAAACATACTGTTGAAACGCGTGGCGACCCCACGTGTCGACACGTGAACATTGCCAACATGTGATGCCACGACACATAGGCATCATAGAAAATAGTAGATTTGATTTGACGCATCGCGTGGCGTCGGGTGGCGTTGCGTTTCAAAAGACTGTTTTTGCCTTTAATTTCAATTTTTTTTATCAGAATATATAAATTACAAAGGACATCGACGAAAACGGCCCTAGTATGCCCAAAAGAATGTCCTTCACTATTATTTTTCTATTTTTTTTTAATTTATTAGCAATTAATTATAGTAAACGGACAATCTGTTTAAAAAAATAAAAGTTCATTTCATCCTAACTTGTCCTATTTGGTCATCAATCTCGGCACTCCTTTTTATTGAAAATACAGCATTAAAAATCAACTGATAGTTGGATTCAATAGGTTTCAGTGTATAGTAATGATTTATATATTAATATTTATTTATTGGCTTCGTTATTTTTTTTTAAATGGGTGATTTTGTTAAAAAGTTGTGCCAAGATTTTTACACACCTTAATAAAAATGCAATATAGGCGATCGACCGTAAATATTTATCAACATAAGAATAGAAGTAGGTACCTTAGTTAATAGTACTTGTCACTAGTATTTATAAAAAGATTATTTCTGAAATTATGTAAAGATAGTCTATATACTCCCATCCCATATAATATCTGTTTATTTTTATGAAAATCATAATGATAACCAGGTACATACTTTATTACCGATAGTAAAATATAGAAACAGGTAAATGGAAAGACTTTGAACATTTCATTTGAAAAGAAATCTATAATTACAACAGGTAGGTATAGGTATCATAGGTGCCAACTGCCAACACTCATAAATCAATATGAATATAAGCATTTATTATTTTTATTATTAATTGCATTTTATGTTCATTTAATGCATATTATTTAAGTGCTTACATAGAGGTAAACACTAAATCTATTCAGAATATATAAAGTGTACATCTTTTACGATTAAGTATAATAATTATAACCTGAAAATCTAATACATTCTGTAGTAGGTCACGGTTCCTCAAGTTGTCCGTATCTCAACAAATGCCTCATTAGAGTGTATGAATGATTCCGAACACAACTAGCATTTTCTCATTGCTGTGCGTTCTAGGGCATTCAATGTATGGGGAACGAGCAATGTCCTTTGACTGACCCGTTTTCATTGTTGTTGAATGATTTTTTTTCTTTTCTTTGTTTTCCTTAGAGAAATTGTTTAAACTATCTTTTCAATCTAAAAAAAAATTTTACTACAAAAAAATCACTCGATACTGGTTTAAGACGGGATTCGAACCCGCATCTTCCGCTATCCGATCGGATGCTCTATTTTCTCTATCTTTTCTACATTAAATTTGTAATCGGAGCTGTAGCTATATATTGTTCCCCATTATTTAGTTATATATTTACTGTTGCAGTGTACCGCAAATGCCAGCCGGATGACTTCCAGTGCGGCGTGGAAGGCTCCGAATCGGGCAAAGTGTCTTCACAGGGGCCTTGTATACCTAAAGAAAAGAAATGTGATGGGTACGTACTGATAAAGCTTAAATATATATTTCTAGCACTCACACCAATTAAGCCCGTTTTCCACCTACAAAGAGGAATGAATTAGGGCTGTCCAGCGGAACGATTCGTGTACATAAAATAGGATTGCTTTTCCACCGAAAACTAGTTTGGGACTATCGATTTACTATATACCTCGTCCGTTATTTGCATTAATACACTGGTACAGGACGTATAAGTATTTTGTAAAAGACGCCTAAATCGGTGATGGAATGGCTAAATAGTAAATACCAGAGGAATCTGTTCTCCCAGCCCATTAAATAGCGTCTCTATAAAAATGCACGTTTGGAAAGGACGGACAGGCGAACATAATAGATGCATCTATGCATTCACTGTCTTAAGCTCGCATCGAGAGAGATTTTTCTCATACTGCGATGAATGTATAAGTTCCCTTCACAGTCGTCATCAATATATTTTATAAACTATGTTAATAATGATTATGTACGTATGTATGTGTATATATATTTAAATGTATTCTATGCATGTATATTTAGGGTTTTTTAAGTAAATATTTATGTAGTTACTTTTATTGGTGTATGTTTATAGTTAATCACTTTTTTTATTTTTTAATAAAGCCGCATTCGTAAATTTCTCTACGCCTAAAGGTTGACTGGCAGAGAATGCTTTTAGCGTTAAGTCCGCCTTTTGTCCAGTTTAAATAAATAAATGTACCTACCTGTATGCGCGATTCCATTAGGGAAGTTACTTGTATGCAAGGTACAAATTTTTACTCTTTTTGTCCTATTTGTAATTTTTGCTCGACTCTTTGTTGGTGGAAACAGATGGAGTCATTAATAGGCTCTCCCCGGTTGCGGTGGAAAGAATATTTTAGCCTAGCCTCAAAGTAAGAACTGTCAAGATTTGTATTTAAGGATAGAGTAACGGGCAGAAATACATACACATACTAGCTGACTCCGTGAACTTCGTACCGCCCAAAAGTAATAATTTGCAATAAATTAAAATTGCGACTATAATTTGAGATTTAAACTATCCTATCTCTCAAGTTGGATCGAATTGCACATGGTGTGCGAATTTTATTATAATCGGTTCAGTGGTTTAGGAGTCCATTGAGGACAAACAGATTAGATACATTTAAATAAGTATCTCTTATCTATTAGACAAGTCCGTCCGTCTGTGGTGCTGTTTCAGCTGCCAAACCGTAAGAGATAGATAAGGAGAATGTTTAAGTTATAAGTTAAGAATAGTCTGATAAGACTACAAACCGGATTTGAGTAACGTAGCACTTCCGGTTTTCGAGAAATCACGAATTTCAAACGAAACCACACAAAATCTCCGAAGTTCTCAATTAATTAAATACATTTTTTTTTAAATCAGGTTTTGGTGAACATTTGGTTCACTGGTTTGCTAGTATTTTTATAAAAATATATGACCTTAGGAAGAAATGCTCGTATAATTCATACAAACATTTGCTCCACCGGGATTCAAGCCCAGGACTTCTGCAGGCGACACATTAAAAACCGATATACATACCACTCACACGTCAACTTAAGTTAAGGGTGCATAGTGGATGTCTAGCTTGCACTGGAGCGCTCATAAATATTAAAATCTTCATAAGGTAACGCTGCTTGGCTATGACAAACTACAAGCAAAACCCATTTTTGCTTTGTAACTTGTATATTTGTAAATTAATTCTTACCCTCCTAAGTGTACGACCTCCGTGGCCTAGTAGTTTGTACGCCATGTTTCATGGTGTCGCCGAGAGGTCCCGGGTTCGAATCCCAGATGTTTGTGTAAGGAAAACGAGCACTTGTACTCCAGTCATGGATGTTTAATATGTATTTCTATATAAATATACTTATAGATGTACAGTGTACGTATTCTATCCGTTACCCTAGTATCCCATAACACAAGCCTTACAATGCTTACTTGGGGCTAGGCTAATTGATGTGTGTGGGAAATATTTATTTATTTACTTACTTGACTATTTACAATGTATGAATTACCACTGCCATTCACAATTATGTGAATGGCAGTTTCTCTAATCTTTCTTAATCTGCAAGGCAGCGCAATTTCTTCGCTCTTATAGGTAACCCAAAATCATCATCATCATCAGCCTATTAATGTCCCCACTGCTGGGGCACAGGCCTTTCCTATGGATGGGATAGGGAGATTGGGCCATGATCCACCACGCGGGCCCAGTGCGGATTGGTGGGTGCTAACGACTGCAGATGCAACCGGGACCAACGGCTTAACGTGCCTTCCGAAGCACGGAGGAGCTCGAGATAGTAAATTTTTGGTCACCCATCCAATGACCGACCACTGCGAAAGTTGCTTAACTTCAACGATCGCAGCCGATCGCGCTAACCAGTTGCGCCATCGAGGTCCTCTACGCATTATAGGTAACCCACAATGTCAGTTGAATACCTTTACAAGTATTAAACATTTGAAAAAAGAGTTAGCGATTATAGTTATACTAGCAAACCAGTGAACCAAATGTTCACCAAAACCTGATTTAAAAAAAAACGAATTTAATTAATTGAGAACTTCGGAGATTTTGTGTGGTTTCGTTTGAAATTCGTGATTTCTCGAAAACCGGAAGTGCTACGTTACTCAAATCCGGTTTGTAGTCTTATCAGACTATTCTTATCTTATAACTTAAATATTCTCTTTATCTATCTCTTACGATTTGGCCGCTGACAGCACCACAGACGGACGGACGGACTTGTCTAATAGATAAGAGATTTTATACTTAAAAAAAAATAATTAACACGTCGTTTTTCTCGTAGATATTTAGACTGTAGAACGGGTAAGGACGAGCAGGACTGTGCGGGGCGCTCTCTCGCCTGCCGCTTAGATCAGTTCCGTTGCGCGTCCGGCACCAAGTGCGTCGACGCCGCCGCCAAATGCGACCACAAGGACGACTGCGGAGATAATTCAGACGAAGCACATTGTAGTAAGTTGATGTTGTATTCACATGATTATTCACCCCTAATAGGGGTGATGACGGGGTACAGTAAACGAAATTCTATTTAGTCCGTCAGTTAGATGATCGAAAAATAATGGACACGTATTTTTTCTTTGGGCAATCAACCAAAAAATGACAAAGTTATAGCGCGTCAAAGTTTGGGAGTAGGGGCTCGTGACGTCACTTTTGAGTGAATTTTCCATTATAAGTGTACTCAAACGTGACTTCATGCGACTTTTCAAATCAATATATCTCTGCAATGTTTGTATTATGTGAAAAAAGAAAAAATACGTGTCCAATACTTTTTGATAATCTACCTGATAAACGAAGAAAAAAAAAATAGTCATCATCCCTATTCTTTTAGAGGTTAAAGGTGTGAGAGGTAGTTATAATAATAATAATAAATTCTTTATTTATTTCTACACATAAGTAGAAAAAAGAAACATTTACAATGAAGTGCTTAATTACAATATTTCATTACTTTATGTGAAAACTGGTGCTTGCAATAGCAAAACCTGTTCTACAAGACACCAGGCCTCCACTCCCAAAACAGACATGAACAGAGCAAGCCACCTTTGTACTATTTAATATGAGAAGTGCTTAAGAAACAACCAAAAACACAATAATAAAAAATAAAACAAAAAAGTATTTGTGTGTGTGTGTGTGTGCGTGTGTGTGTGTGAGCGTATGCGTGTGTGCGTGTGTTTTTGTATGTATATGTATTTATATTTAACGGTTCCCTTAAATGCTTTATTTATTGCCATTGTATTATGAATTTGCATTGATTTTTTTTCTTGTTCTATTCCAATTTCCTGAACTTGAATTAATTTCATCATCGTCATTAACTTAGAGGCATCATAAGGATATTTAAAGCTATTTCATTTGATTCCAATAAATAATTACAGATCTGTTGCTTTATGTAGTTGTTAGTTGTTTATGTATCCCTATTTAATTTTATCTTAAGCATCGATGACACGGGGCCAGTTTACAAGCTGCTAGCGAACTCGCTGGCTTGTAGCTTGTTTCTCGCCCCGTGTCATCGGGCTTTAGGGCCAAGACGGTATGTAAATCGTAAGTGGCCCGGGGCGCTAGATTTCTAAATACGCCCCTGACCTACATACTTAAATGCTACGTTAGCGGAAGCACGACAAAGCATCACTGATATATATCAGACGTTCTAAAGGTTAACACTAAGAGCTTTGCATTTCATAATAGCCAATTAGGCCAGGATTCTTTGTTCATTGATACGTAAAAACTCGCGGGGATAAACCTATTCGCTGCTTTCGTATAGGCAGCGTTTCCTGTTAGGGAAGGATTCGATTGTGAATTTCGATATAGGCTTGTCTTATATCGATCTCTCAATCTCTCATGCTTAGCTTGAGTATATATTAGCATCATCAGTACCTTGGCAATGGGACCAGCAATTAAAATGGCTATAAAAAGACTGAAGAAAATCGAACGTGTTTCCCTTTTCATGTTATTTTATTGAAAAATGAGATGAGAGCAATACGACTGGAATAGCATTACCCGAAGTCCTTGGCTCTCACCGTCCTACATGCATACACACACACACATACACACACACATACACACACACACACACACACATACACACACACACACACACACACACACACACATACACACACTTTATTACTTTATAACGTAGTTAAAAAGTTAGTTTCTGTATTCTGTAATTTTACTTTTCATCTGTTGCAACATTTTTTTTACATTCATTGGGTACCCACGATACAGGACCTCCTAGTGTAAGACCCATGGTTATAAGCTGACTGTATGATGTAAATTTTAATAAATATATTTGTATTTGTAGTAGGACTTGTTATTTAGGGAATTTTGTTCCAAAGCCTTTATCGTAAAGTATCTTAATTGTATTTCGACTCTTCGCAGGTTTCCCAGCGTGCCATATAGGACAATTTCGGTGTAGCAACGCGCTGTGCATACCTGCGGCGTATCACTGTGACGGATACCGAGACTGCTCGGACGGGTCTGATGAAGCTAACTGTACTGCTATAGCGTGTCCTGACAACAAGTACCTGTGCCCCAAAGGTGGGCCTGGGGGCACCCACAAGTGTATAGCGAGGTCGCAGCTTTGCGACGGCAAGAAAGACTGCGAGGATAACGCTGATGAGGAAACTGCATGCTGTAAGTGCTACTATGAATGTAGAGTAGAACTATTTAGTAAACATTAAAATAATTATTTGTTAAATAGATTTTGGGTGATTGACATTTTCTCTGCGACTTTATTGATAGAATAGACTCGTGCTCCATAGTAATGGGATTTTTTATTGGTGAATGACGAGGAGGAATTGCCCAGGTTTCTTGATTAAAAAGTCTGTTTCAAGTCTGTTTTCAGATTAATTTCATGATAACTAACGTTTTTGACAGCAATGAGCTGCTATCATGGGTTAATAAAATCCAGGTGCCATTCCGTACAGTTGCCAGACGCAATTATCTGCGATTCCATACTGATTTATGTTCGACAAATTATAGACAGAATTCCTACTTTAATAGAGTAACACAAAATTTCAACAATAATTATTCAAGTGATGTGGACGTATTTCTGGCGAGACAAAATTATTTCAAAAAGATTGTGAATAGTATTTTTTTTAATAATGATAATAAAACCTAATTTAAATTGCTTTATATTTTTATCACCATTTTCTCTGTGGGTATGGCTTTATGCTTGGTTTTATACTTCTGTGTTTTTATTTTTATTTTATATAGTTTTAAATTAATCTACGGCCTCGATTGTATGAAGTATATTTTGTTTGATTTGTATTTGTGAAAACTGCATAAGGCTTATCAATGCTACATCATCTCGTTTTATCCTTTGTTTTAACATGCCGTTTGTTTTCCATGAATAAATAAATAAATAAAATAAATCTCACGATATCCATAAGAAATCGATATATTCCATTCCAATAAAAAGCGTTTGGTCAGCTATCTAATACGTAGTCAGAATTGAACTTCCTCCAGAAGATCGTCGTTATATAACGCATCTGTTATCGTATCGCAGCGACCTCATCATGCCCTGCGTTGGAATGCGAGTACAAATGCGTAGCGTCTCCCGCGGGCGGCGCCTGCGCCTGCGCACCCGGACTCACACTGGCGGCAGACAACCGCACCTGCGCCGACCGCGACGAGTGCCGCGCCTGGGGATACTGCCACCAGCTGTGCGTCAACACGCCCGGCTGTGAGTACCCTGCCCCACACTCACACTGGCGGCCCACAACCGCACCTGCGCCGACCGCGACGAGTGCCGCGCCTGGGGATACTGCCACCAGCTGTGCGTCAACACGCCCGGCTGTGAGTACCCTGCCCCACACTCACACTGGCGGCCCACAACCGCACCTGCGCCGACCGCGACGAGTGCCGCGCCTGGGGATACTGCCACCAGCTGTGCGTCAACACGCCCGGCTGTGAGTACCCTGCCCCACACTCACACTGGCGGCCCACAACCGCACCTGCGCCGACCGCGACGAGTGCCGCGCCTGGGGATACTGCCACCAGCTGTGCGTCAACACGCCCGGCTGTGAGTACCCTGCCCCACACTCACACTGGCGGCCCACAACCGCACCTGCGCCGACCGCGACGAGTGCCGCGCCTGGGGATACTGCCACCAGCTGTGCGTCAACACGCCCGGCTGTGAGTACCCTGCCCCACACTCACACTGGCGGCCCACAACCGCACCTGCGCCGACCGCGACGAGTGCCGCGCCTGGGGATACTGCCACCAGCTGTGCGTCAACACGCCCGGCTGTGAGTACCCTGCCCCACACTCACACTGGCGGCCCACAACCGCACCTGCGCCGACCGCGACGAGTGCCGCGCCTGGGGATACTGCCACCAGCTGTGCGTCAACACGCCCGGCTGTGAGTACCCTGCCCCACACTCACACTTCGACGTTCACAACAACAGGTTCTCAGGAGAATCAGCTGGATTTTTCTCGACCACGTTTCCAATTCCGGTGGACGGGTAGGCGTTGAAGAGAAGTAACCTTCTAGACTTCACCTTACAGACGTTCGCAGTGAAAAAATATCAAGACTGGAAGACTCAATGCTTGATAAAGGTACTTACTAAATTTAATAAAATGATTTTGATTGCGGGACTTTTGTTTCCGATTTTAATGACAATGTATCTATATTACTCGTAGCTTTAGATGTTGTCCATACTATTGTACGAGCTGAATTAGGACACTTCTGAAGAAATCTCAGTTTTTTGAAAATCATCGTCATCGTAATTAGCAACAGTACGATGACACGATGTGTTTTCATCATGCGATCATTGCTAATGAGGACGACGTCTGAAATGTGATACCTCTTTCGTGTTTCTGGAAGGGCATGTTAAGCCGTTGATCCCAGCAGCATCTGCAGTTATTAGCACCCACCTTTAAAACTACATCCGCATGGTGAATCTTGACTCTCTTTATTCCTTACATAGGGAAGGCCTGTGCCTCTGCAATGGGGATAATAATAAACTGATGTTATTAATGAGTCAGTGTTTATTAAATCTAAGTCTTGGATTCCATTGCTCTCCCCGTTCTACCGTGCAACAATTTCAGCACTTATATAAACTTAATCTAAAATTTGAAAATGTTGGTGTGTTTTCGTATTTAAAAACTAATTTCATTTATTGTCATTTCATCCATTAAGAATTGGATTCGAACGCTAAAATTTACATGAAGCTACTGTTAATGGTGTATTGGTTAAATGGTGACTAACAAGTCATATTGACGGTAGCTTTAATGCTAAGCATTAAACCTGTATTGTATTTACATATACGTTTTATAGAATTCTTAACGCTAACCTATATTTTATTTGTGTGTTCCAGCATACAAATGTGCATGCGCTCCCGGCTACCGTCTAGTCGAGAAGTCTCGTTGCGCGGTAGAATCGGACTCCACAGGCGGAGCGTACTTGGCACTCGCGCACGCGGGCGGAGTCCTACGTATGGAGCTACAAGGCAGAGCGCCCTCTACCCTCACTAACGCCACGCACGCGGCGGGATTAGACTACCATTACAAACGCAATCTACTGTTCTGGTCCGACCTCAATACTCGAAAGGTATGTAACCACACTCTGACTACATTTGCAATAACGTTACGTAGCGCTGGTGAACCCGTGTGGAGTCTTATAGTGACACATTCTCAGAAGAAAGAGACGTACAAACTGGTGTATCCCAAGGCTCTGTTCTCGGGCCAGTTCTTTTTATAGTATTTACTTTTGACCTACCTTTATATAATATTTACTTTTGACCTTCTAATTTGTATGTTTTCTCATCATACAGATCCACTCGCAGCAACTCAGCGTGCCGGCCGGCACAAGCGGCGGCCGCGGTGTGGGCGGAATCGACATCTCTTATGCTGCAGCTTCATGGGCTCCCACTGCTCTAGCCGTGGATTGGGTGGGAGACAAGCTTTATGTAGCCGACGCTGTGGGACAAAAGGTCAGGACACATATCAATAAAGGAAGACACTACTTATGTGTGGAACACCTTTAGTCGGTTGTTTAAATTGTCCCGAAAATGTTGTTATGATTAAATGATAAAACGATGTTGCTTGATTAAGTAATTTACAAGAAGCTTCTGTGCAATTAATGTAATAAAAGGTATTTCGTCTCGCGCCCAGCGCCGACGTTACAAAATAGTAACATGTCGAATTGTATGGGTTGTCAATTTTTAACAGAAAATGTCATTCCACCCTTTTCGAATGATATGCTCCCTACTTATTATTTCAAGTAACAATAGATAATTTTTTCTTCGGTATTAAATTATGCAATTCAAATAATAAATATACATATATGTTTTAATCAAAATTTCAATTAAGATTTTTTTTAAAGTTGTTTGTTTCAAGATGCATGGCGTTTTAGGTGGGTGAAAAGGGGATTGTAGGATGAAAAGGGGATTGAAGGGTGAAAAGGGGATTGTAGGGTGAAATGGGGATTGGTGGGTGAAAGGGGGATTGTAGGGTGAAAAGGGTATTGTAGGGTGAAAAGGGTATTGTAGGATGAAAAGGGAATTGTAGGGTGAAAAGGGGATTGGATGGTGAAAACGGGATTGGAGGGTGAAATCGGGGATTGGAGGGTGAAAAAGGGATTCAGGGTGAAAAGGGGAATTTAAGAGTTAAAGGGATTCGAGGGTAACGAGGCGTCGATGGGTGATAGTGGGGATTGATGGGTGAGGGAGTGGGTGGGTGGGTTAGCGGATAGGTCGGCGGATAGGAGCGTTGATAGTCGAAGCTTTATCGAGGCATGCGTTCGTTTTCAGATCGACGTATTCGAGCTGGACGGGCGCTGGCACGCGGTGGTGCTGGGCTCCAACCTCACCGCGCCCGCAGACATCGCGCTCGACCCCACGCTCGGGTACATGTTCATCGCCGACACAGGCCAGGTATGTGTGTGTGTGTGTGTGTGTGTGTGTGTGTGTGTGTGTGTGTGTGTGCTCCAGCTGGACGGGCGCTGGCACGCGGTGGTGCTGGGCTCCAACCTCACCGCGCATGACCTATGCATGAATAAGGAGTGCGAGAATGGTAGTCGGCCTATCAATGGCCTCACTGTTGAAGCACAAGCCTAAACCTATGGATGGAATAGGGAGTGCGGGCCGTGACCCACCAAGTTAGCCCAGTCCGGATGGTGGGTGATAACGACCGCAAATGCAGCTGGAAGCAATGGCTTGACGCGCCTTTCAAAACACGAAAGAGTGAGTTATAGTTAATTTTTGGTCACCCATCCGATAACTGACCACTGCAAAAGTTGCTTAGCTTCAACGATCGCAGCCGAACGTGCTAACCGCTTACGCCATCGGGCTCTTCAGGTATGTGTACTGTAGTTTATTAACTACTGTCGACATAAGTCAATAAACGTAAACATACTTATACATTTTTTCAGCATTTAATTGCCTATAAGTATTAATCAAAAGAACATTTTATTAAAAATAACCACGTAGGCCAGACACCAGACGGGACTCGAACCCGCACCCTCCGCTATCAGGGCGAATGCGTCCCCAGTTAAGCCTAACAAATCCAAAAGTGCCATTTCGATCTAATAGAAAAAGAGGTCCCAAAATAGACTCTCTTTATGTCGCTATATAGAACCGACACGACCTGTCAGAATTGCATTCTTTTGTTGGACTCGCTTTAGTCATTGTAAACATATAAATCAATTTTGGAGGAAAGAACGGGCTAGCTATCTAGCCATTAGCAACTGCCATATGAAATAATTACACTGTTATCTGTCAAAGTTCGTCGTTCGCCGTTTATTGTATGAAAAAAAATATGCCGTGTATTCAGACTATTTTAAGTGCTTTTGAGTGGTTTTAAAGAAAAAAACGCCATGCCTGGTTAAGTTAAATACATTTAGTTACTTTATTTTGATGTTTTGTTTGCGGGTCTCCGTGAATTTTTTTTTTAGTATTTTTTTGCAGACGAGGTCGCAAAAAAAATCAGCGAAAACTTAGGGGTACTTACCTTATGTTTTCATTTGATAATTTCGATAATAATTGTAATGTTTTAATTTTTAGTTATTAAATAAATTATTCATGATTAATACTTCGAATACAAAGAATCTCTTGAGTTCGTATTTTTGAAGAAATAAAAAAAATGGGTGCGTGTACTTATGTAGGCGCGTGAGAAGTTATCCTTCTTTGGCATCGTTTAAAATTAGTTTTTAATTGCATGCAAATAATTAATTACAATAAATTAATAAAAAGTCTGGAAAAGGACACAGTCAATAAAGTTCAGTTTTAATTTGAAAAAATAAATAAATAATCAAAATATTCAATTAAAATCGCTACTGAATATAATTTATTATTTATTTATTTTTACAAATAGAGGAGCCACAACACTGAAATTGATATACATGACTAACTATAAATCTCTGTTGTGATGGAAAATAAATATATTTTTGATTTTGATTTGATTTGATTTGATATTAGAACATATGTGATTTGCACTTGTATGAAACTCAAACACGTATTCCGAATATACAAACTAGAAACATGTGGATAAATATTATAAATATGAATACCTATAACTGTTACTTTATTACAAAAAAAATGGGTGCGTGTACTTATGTAGGCGCGTGAGAAGTTATCCTTCTTTGGCATCGTTTGAAATTAGTTTTTAATTGCATGCAAATAATTAATTACAATAAATTAATAAAAAGTCTGGAAAAGGACACAGTCAATAAAATTCAGTTTTAATTTGAATAAATAAATAAATAATCAAAATATTCAATTAAAATCGCTACTGAATATAATTTATTAGAACATATGTGATTTGCACTTGTATGAAACTCAAACACGTATTCCGAATATACAAACTAGAAACATGTGGATAAATATTATAAATATGAATACCTATAACTGTTACTTTATTACAAAAAATAAAGATGTGATTTTTGGTTCTACTACACCAATGGTCAAGAGATGGCGCTGTAGTCTCCTGAATCGCGCTTTGGTTCCGTTGTTCCAGATTAACAAATACTTTTGATATTATAAATATGAATACCTATAACTGTTACTTTATTACAAAAAATAAAGATGTGGTTTTTGGTTCTACTACACCAATGGTCAAGAGATGGCGCTGTAGTCTTCTGAATCGCGCTTTGGTTCCGTTGTTCCAGATTAATAAATACTTTTGATAGGCCTTCACAATGCAGTCGTTAGCACCTTCTAAATAGAGATTCTATTTCTATTTTGTTGGTAGATTTTCTTAATATGCGGTAAACACAAAAGTAACAGCATGAAGTTGGTCGCTAAAGCGACCAACTTCATGCTGTTACTTTTGTGTTACAGTGATGCGCGCGCATCTTAAAATTTCACTCTCATCATTTTTTCATAACGCGCCTAAAGAAGTATAACTTCAAAAAATAAAGATGTGGTTTTTGGTTCTACTATACCAATGGTCAAGACATGGCGCTGTAGTCTCCTGAATCGCGTTTTGGTTCCGTTGTTCCAGATTAATAAATACTTTTGATAGGCCTTCACAATGCAGTCGTTAGCACCCACTAAATAGAGATTCTATTTCTATTTTGTTGGTAGATTTTCTTAATGTGCGGTAAACACAAAAGTAACGCATGAAGTTGGTCGCTAAAGCGATAATAATCTTAAAATTTCACTCTCATCATTTTTTCATAACGCGCCTAAAGAAGTATAACTTCAAAAATCCGCGCAGTGGAACGGTCGTTCGAAATTCAAATACACGAATGAAATATTTTTTTATATTATTTTCTTGTATGTGAACTAGTAGTAAGTTTTTGTTTATTCTAAAGCAAATTTCGCGTACATTTTGATAAAAAAAACCGTTTATCAAAATTGTAAATATTTTTCGTTTTATAGACATAAAACAAAGATGACTGATTTGTAGGCGATTTTTAAATGCCTCGTTGTAAGTTCTTAAACCTAAAAAATGGACAAACGTTATTCATAACAATCTTGGTTGTAATGTTATCTTAACACTCGGAGCTAATGGGATAACACAAATCGCACCCATTCAGACCCCGCTTAATCCTTATCGAGCCACTTGAAATCGGAGCTTTGTATAAACTACGCGCGGTTGTTTACACAAGTGGCACGCGCGGAATGTGAGACCTGTAGTGTAAAATTAAATTGTGGGAGTATAGTACTTTATGATTTTATTTGGTAAGTTATAATAGAATGTGCAAATAACCAAAAAATCTGGACATGAAATTTTGAAAATATACTCCATTTTACCCATCTAAACGCCTTTTTTTTATCTTTCCCGAGTTTACCGTAACGTAATTAAAATAGATTATAGACATGACGCATTGTTTAGACACTGTTTTATAGTAAATTTTATGGAGAATCCAAATATATATAGTTTGTGTAGGGTATTCTTACAAAATAACAGAGAAATCGGCAAAGCCTTGCAGTCATTCCCACCCCGCGGGGGGCCTCTGCGGTCGCCACCGCAACCGCGAAGGGCGCGTGCGCTTGCCACCGCGCGGGAGGATAAGCATTCTCAATATGGACTCGAAACGAAAATAAACCAGATGCTAACATCTAATAGAAACGTGTGTTAACGGAGAAACGCTTGTAGCGTATAAAAGTTACCTTTTATTCCTTCACTGGAATGAGATTAACTGAATATCACATTGACGCTTGCTTAAACTTTAAATTGGATCAGGAAAGGCTTAATGTTAGACAATTAGCCCCTCTCGTTAGTGCTAGAAATAACACGAGTGACACTATTCCATAACAATTATATCAAAATTATATAATCGCCCATAATTTATATTAGGTATGACGTCTTTTTGTTCTATTTCAATAATTCTATTTAATATACTCTGGCCTCATAGTAGTGTTCCTATTTAGTTTGACTTTAGTTTCACCTAATTATTTAATTGTGCATATACCTATTTTAACAGATCTATCAAAATTGTCATAAATAAACTACTGTTCGATGTCCATTTACAAACGAATTTCAAGTTTTTGTTTTAATTATCATCACAATAAATTAAATTAGACTATAATCTAACTAAAACTAACCTATCGTTTGTTTTCTCAGATCATTCGTGCTAACATGGACGGAACGCACACCAAAGCAATTGTCTCCGAAGCGGCTTACAAGGCATCGGGCATAGCGGTCGACATTATCGCGAAGAGGGTATTCTGGTGCGACTCACTTCTCGACTACATAGAAACAGTGGACTACGACGGCCTACATAGATTTCTGGTGCTTCGAGGGCAACAAGTTCCCCGACCTTCACGATTAGCATTGTTCGAAGACAGAGTTTACTGGTCGGATACCACCAAACAGGGCATCAGCTCCGTCAGCAAATACGAAGGCGCCTCCAGCATACAGGCCATCTACAAAATGAAAGACATCCGCGAACCGAAAGCCGTTACAGTCATACATTCCTTAAAACAGACTTCGGTAAATAATCCATGCGGAAACAACAATGGCGGTTGCGCTCAAATGTGCATCGTAAGCGCTTTACCAGACGGCGGTCTAGGCTATCGATGTGCCTGCAACATCGGCTACCGACTCGAACAGGACTTACGCAACTGCGACATCGTCCAGGAATTCCTCATGTACTCTCAACAGAGATTCATCAAAGGCAAAGTTTTAAACCCCGTGATAGAAGGATTCAGCGATGCGATTTTACCCGTCGTCTCGCGGCGGGCCAGATTCGTCGGCTTAGATTTCGACGCTCGCGACGAGCATATCTATTACTCGGACGTTCTTCAAGACGTTATTTACAGAGTGCATAGGAACGGAACCACAAGGGAGATAGTGCTCGCTTCTCAGAACGAGGGCGTCGAAGGACTCGCCGTGGACTGGGCGTCGAAGAACCTGTACTATATCGACTCTAGAAAGGGCACTCTGAACGTCCTGTCGACGAGGAACGTCGCTCACAAGAGGACACTGCTGAAAGACTTGAAGAGGCCGCGCGCTATCGTAGTCCACCCGAACAAAGGCTACGTGTTCTTCTCCGAATGGGACAGACCGGCGAACATCAGCCGAGCTAACACCGACGGCACCGGGCTACTGGTGTTCGAGAACGTGACGCTGGGCTGGCCCAACGGCCTCTCCATCGACTTCGGCGAGGATCGCCTGTACTGGTGCGACGCTCTACTCGACCACGTGCAGCACGCGAAACTCGACGGCACCGACGTGAAGACGGTCAATTCCAGACTGATAAGACACCCTTTCTCGATCGTCATCCACGGGGAGTTCATGTACATCACCGATTGGAGACTGGACGCCATCGTGCGCTTGCACAAACTGACGGGGGAGCGGGAGGAGGTGACGGTGAGAGAGCCGCAAACGAATCGTCTGTACGGTGTCAAAGTGTACAGTCGCAGCGTTCAGCATATAGATCCGATGCAGCCTTGCGCACGCAACAACGGCAATTGCCAGAAGCTGTGCTTCGCCGTGCCGCGGAATAATACGGAACTGTTGACCGTCCGGTGCGGGTGCCCGTACGGCGAACGATTGCAGCCGGACGGGCGGTCGTGCGCGCCGGATCCGAGCGCGGAGCCCCCGTTACAGCCGTGCCCCAACGCGTGGGACTTCACCTGCAGGAATCAGCGGTGCATCCCGCGCACGTGGCTGTGCGACGGCGACGACGACTGTCTGGATAACAGTGACGAAGACCAGGCCAATTGCACTAGTGAGTTTTGTTACGCTGACGCTTAGGACTTCTCGTAACTTTTGAGTTAGGGCTAAAGTTGATGCTGTCGCTTTCTTAGCGATAATAATAGTATGAAAGAACGCGTGACTCGATGAAGCGTTATCTTTATATATATGATTCTTCTGTGAGTGTGTATGTCGCTGAACTTCTCTTAAACGACTGGACCGATTTTGATGACGTTTTTTGTGTGCGTTCAAAGGGATCTGAGAATGGTTTAGATTCACAATTTTGTCCGCTGTTTTTTTAGGGCGGTACGAAGTTCGCTGGGTCAGCTAGTACTAATATAATATTTTGAGTACGACCGTTAATGTTCGCCGTCTTACAAGTCTATTTTAACGGTGGCAGTTCGATAACTTGATGTATTAAGATTTTTTGTTCCGTTTCAAAGCATGCATATTATGCTTTCCCACACTAAGCAAATTCTAAAATTCCTGTAAAATAAGTTAAAAGTTATTTTGATAACACATGTTTTTTTGCTAACGTAAATTTGTGTTATGTTTAATGAAAACCTAATATGTTTCTAGTTTCTACATAGATTTCCTAAATTTATTTCTGTAGAATCAAAGTCATAACTTACACTTTTACATTTACACTGATAAATATATCTTATTTCTATCTCATGGTATTGATGAATCAGGTTCCCTCCTACTGACTATTGTGAAAGCATGTACGATTTTTGACGTGACAACGTCTTAAATTAGGTTGCGGCTGGGAGTCACTTAAGAAAAAGTGTAACGCTCGGTAACGTTACGATGAGTCTCTCGTGTTAAGTTTAAGTTTACATGTACAATGTTTTAGTAAACAAAATATATTTCTATAGTTAAAATTTGTGCAATTCTTATTTTCATTCAATTCCTTGTTCCTATTGTGCAATTTAATTATATTCATATCAATAAATATTCTACCGAGAAAAAGACGTTGTCACGTAAAATCTTCGCCCGTAAAACCGACTTTACAGGCAACCATTTTTTTATCTAACAGAATCAACTTGCGGCCCATTGGACTTCATGTGCAAATCTGGACGTTGCATCCCAGCAACCTTCAAATGCGACACCGAGAACGACTGCGGCGACTACTCCGACGAGGCGGGCTGCGTCAACGTCACCTGCAGCGCCTCGCAGTTCCAGTGCGACAACGGACGATGCGTGCCAAACACCTGGAAATGTGACTCGGAGAACGACTGCGGAGATGGCTCCGATGAGGGCTCACATTGTGCGGAGAAGACCTGCGCTTACTTCCAGGTATTTAGCAAGATTTCTAGAGAAATTTACGAGGGAGAAGATATTCGTTTCCTTCCAGATATTTAATCAAATGCTACTGTGAGAATGACTGCGGGAGATGGCTCTGATGAAGGGTCTAGCATTGTGCAGAGCTGAAATGCACTAATTTCCAGGTAATCATCAATCAAATGCGATGCTGTTTGTGACGTGTAGCGCGTTGCAATTGCAGTGCGACAAAACGACTGGAGATAGATCAGATATAGTCTCGCACTGTGTGGGGAAGACCTGATATTTATTAATCAAATGCCGCGCCTCACAGTTTCAGTGCGACAACGAGTGCTGCGTGCCCAACGCATAGAAATGTGACTTGTAGAACGACTGCAGAGTGACTCTGGTGAGGACTCTGACAGTGCGAAGAAGACCTACTCTTACTTCCAGGAGTTTCTAGGGAAATTTAAATTATTCATCATCATCATCAACAACCTATTAATGTCCCCACTGCTGGGGCACAGGCCTTCCCTATGGATGGAATAGGGAGATTGGGCCATGACCCACCACGCGGGCCCAGCGCGGGTTGGTAACTTGCTAACGACTGCAGATGCAGCCGGGACCAACGGCTCAACGTGCCTTTCGAAGCACGGAAGAGCTCGAGATAGTAAATTTTCGGTCACCCATCCAATGACCGACCACTGCGAAAGTTGCTTAAATTCAACGATCGCAGCGGAACGCGCTAACCACTTGCGCCATCGAGCTCCTCGATCAATTTAAATTATTATGACATGTGATTTTAGTCGCGAATAAATTCAGTTTGGACCTGCGTGAGACTGTATGTAAACGTAATACTTTGTGATTTATAATGTGTGTTGTGTTTGACAGTTCACGTGCCCTCGCACGGGGCACTGCATCCCCTCGTCGTGGGTCTGCGACGGCGACGACGACTGCTTCGACAAGCAGGACGAGGCCGACTGTCCGCCTGTCTCGTGTCTGGCCAGCCAGTTCAAGTGTGCCGACCTCAAGCAATGCGTGCAGGTAACTGCATTACAAGACACTGGGACGAGGCTGATTACTTGCCCATCATCATCATCACCAGCCTATTAATGACCCCACTGCTGGGGCACAGGCTTTCCCTATGGATCGAATAGGGAGATTGGGCCATGACCCACCACGCGGGCCCAGTGCGGATTGGTGGGTGCTAACGACTGCAAATGCAGCCGGGACCAACGGCTTAACGTGCCTTCCGAAGCACGGAGGAGCTCGAGATAGTAAATTTTTGGTCACCCATCCAATGACCGACCACTGCGAAAGTTGCTTAACTTCAACGATCGCAGCCGAACGCGCTAGCCACCTGCGCCATCAAACTCCTCTCCTGCCCATATAAAACATTTTATAATAATTGAGGAATAATTTCTATTAGAAGTAGGTGTGCTATGTTAAGTGTAAGATGGACACTTAGCACAGCACTACTACTTCTTATGTTTAACTAATAGGTGCGGGCTCATGTCCGCGTGGAATTTTTTCTAGTAATAATTTCTTTATATAATAGAAATTATTCCTCATTTATATATGAAGCCAAAAATAAAAGAAATGAAAAAAAACGACGGGTTACACTGCGAGAGTGCCGGCAGAAGTGAAAACTTGAATATTAGCGTTGTGCATTTTTGATATTTTGGAATGGTTAGGGAATAATTTTGCACGAATTGCTTTAGTTATCAGTATAAGAGTACTATCATGTATGTGGTAGAATACAATATTTATTTATTGCGCTATCGTACACAAACATAACAATTTATATTACATTAAAAAAGTTTATCTCCCAGAAAAATCAAATTACATGAATCACGTTTAAGCGCACTTAGCGACATCTATTGTAAAAACGATGCATTTTATTCGCAATAAAGCTGTCACATGGACGTCCTAGATAAAGACGTATTATTATAATACGGTAAAATAAAATATAACTATGTTTCGTCCAATATATTGAAAGTCAACAACCTTTCCAATTTTATTGTGTGTCATGATGCGATCAGCCCACGTGTTTAACCTGACGCGAGTTTAACATTTTTTACCCATACAAAAAAAAGTGTACAATGCCGCTAAAGAAGTTTTCACTTCAATAAATGTAATGTGACAGAATATCAACTACTTATCTAATTTATTTATTGCCTCAAAAGTATAAATACCTTTTCGTTTAGACTCCAACATCCTAAACATCACAAGGAGCCAGCATTTCTATGTAATAATCCTCGCTGGGTGTTTAATTTTGAAACCCATAGTGTTTATTTGTGAAGTATTTTCCTGGTTGGTCAATTTTGTAGAATAGACTTTTTATAAATACCTATACTATTTTGCATGTCTTGAGCGGGCTCCACATATTCGTTGATTGCTAAACACCGACCAGAATTATACGACACAAACACGCTTCCCCGGGCTTGGAGATCGTGCTGGTATATTCCAGTTTGGCAAACAACGTCCTTTGATTCGTGCAAAAAATCGACACCGACTCCGATCACTGACAAACACAATCAGCAAACAATACAAACAGTCTTCTATATGTTTGTTGTTTGTGTCTGCTATTTGCTTGTCAAGTGTATGCATGCACCTTTACACCATTTATATGAAGACCTCTTTGCAAACTGTGTTTTGCGCAAATTAAAATTCGACCTATGCATAGAATAAAGTTACATATGAAAATGTTATCAAATTACTTTTATTATACTTTTAGATGAAACGGACGCATATATTTTACTGGCAAAAACATTTATTCGAAAACTTATATAACTTCGAAGATAGCAATTGAATAAAGGTACATGAGATTTTTGTTTCCGAAGAATATAGAGTCAAGAGCGCTAGTACCTTTTGGATAGGCAAGAAAGCAGCCTGCACGGCTTCAATTTTGTTAAAAACTGAGACTTTTTACTAAATGTTTGATTTTATTTTTCTTATTTGCCATATTATCATAATGTGACGCTACAGGACAAATAAATTTTGTAAAACAAAGTTATATCTTCACATAATATTGACACGTTTCCCATGCATAAGGTCTGATATACTTAAATAACATAAAGATGTCAGTAGTAAATTGTCACAAAATCACATAAGATACTCTCAAATAACAAAATATAAACGCGTCATAATTTTCTTCTCAATCTTCTACTATATAAAAATAAGTCGGGTTTTCCTTCCTGACGCTATAACTCCAGAACGCACGTACCGATTTCCACGGTTTTGCATTCGTTGGAAAGGTCTCGGGCTCCGTGAGGTTTATAGCAAAGAAAATTCAGGAAAAATAAAAAAATAAAATCTTCTTTTAATCACCAAACGAAATGTTACATAAAACGAAGCCATCTGGTGGTGAAACGGAGTTCGCCGGGTTTGCTAGTGCTTTATATGATTGGTAAAAAAAAATCAAATGCTAGAAAAATACCAATACAATGGATAGGTTCAATTATTTTATTTCGATCTTCGTTTCTTCCCTGTAGTTGTGAATAACATGTTTAATATAACCCAGGAAGCGTACAAATGCGACGGCATCCCGGACTGCAACGACGGGTCGGACGAGGTGGGCTGCCCCTCCCTCGCGCCGCACCAGTGCCAGCCCGACAAGCAGTTCCAGTGCAGGTCCTCCGCCATCTGCATCCCCTCCACCTGGTACTGCGACGGTGAGTATACTGCCGCACCAGTGCCAGCCCGACAAGCAGTTCCAGTGCAGGTCCTCCGCCATCTGCATCCCCTCCACCTGGTACTGCGACGGTGAGTATACTGCCGCACCAGTGCCAGCCCGACAAGCAGTTCCAGTGCAGGTCCTCCGCCATCTGCATCCCCTCCACCTGGTACTGCGACGGTGAGTATACTGCCGCACCAGTGCCAGCCCGACAAGCAGTTCCAGTGCAGGTCCTCCGCCATCTGCATCCCCTCCACCTGGTACTGCGACGGTGAGTATACTGCCGCACCAGTGCCGGCCCGACAAGCAGTTCCAGTGCAGGTCCTCCGCCATCTGCATCCCCTCCACCTGGTACTGCGACGGTGAGTATACTGCCGCACCAGTGCCAGCCCGACAAGCAGTTCCAGTGCAGGTCCTCCGCCATCTGCATCCCCTCCACCTGGTACTGCGACGGTGAGTATACTGCCGCACCAGTGCCGGCCCGACAAGCAGTTCCAGTGCAGGTCCTCCGCCATCTGCATCCCCTCCACCTGGTACTGCGACGGTGAGTATACTGCCGCACCAGTGCCAGCCCGACGAGCGGTTCCGGTGCTCCTCACTATGCCATTATGATTACCCCTCATTTAGCTAATGATGATGTATCGTTCCGTCCAGGCACGCCCGACTGCGAGGACTTATCCGATGAGCCGGCGTCATGCGGCACCGCGGAGTGTGCCCCCTCCCACTTCCGGTGCGACAACGGCGCCTGCGTGTTCAAGGCCTACGTGTGCGACGGCAGAGATGACTGCGGCGACAACTCCGACGAGGGGCTGCGGCACGCCTGCAAGCCGCCCGAGCCTAGGTAACGCGCCAATATATATATATACTAGCAAACCGGTCAACCAAATGTTCACCAAAAAAAAAAATGTATTTAATTAATTGAGAACTTCGGAGATTTTGTGTGGTTTCGTTTGAAATAGAAATCACGTGATATCTCGAAAACCGGAAGTGCTACGTTGCTCACATCCGGTTTGTAGTCTTATCAGACTATTCTTAACTTATAACTTAAACGTTCTCTATATCTATCTCTTACGGTTTGGCCGCTGAAACAGCACCACGGACGGACGGACGGACTTGTCTAATAGATAAGAGATACGGTGGAGCCCCGGTAATCCGGCCCCTGGCTAATGCGGCACCCCCTATAATCCGACATCGTCTATTACATACAAGTATTCGCTAATTCACGATTGAACAAGTTACAACTTGTACGCACCATCACTATTTATTATTATTACTTTTATAATAAAACGTAATGTTTCTATTGTGTTGTTTAATTTACTAAATTTGACATTCATAACGAAGTATGATTTGTAATCTTATCATTGGATCTGTAATTTGTCGGATTACAAGGTACACTTTTGTAAAAAAAATCGGACTATAGGGGGTCTTAGGCAGTACTCTATAATCCGACAAATTCGATAGTTCGACACTGCCCTGCAAAATGTTTGTCGAACTACCGGGGATCCACTGTATTATGTATATTATATACTATGCCATATCGAGAATGTTAATCGTATCTCTCTGAATAAATACAAAGATCCGCTATCTATATATATAAAACTCAAAGGCGACTGACTGACATAGTGATCTATCAACGCACAGCCCAACACACTGGACGGATCGGGCTGAAATTTGGCATACAAGTAGATTTTATGACGTAGGCATTAGAAAGGATTTTGATCAATTTTACCCCCAAGGGGATAAAATAGGGAATGAAAGTTTGTATGAAACTTTGTGAAATAAAACCGATGGGGCTGAGACTTTGCATGCAGGTATATGCAGGTAAGAAGAATCATAGATGAATGTCATTGTGTATAATACAAGCCTGAGAACAAAAACTGTAGCTTACACTTCAGCTCTACACCGAAGCGAAGCGAGGGCGGGCCGCTAGTATTCAATATAGCACAACTTGTACTAATGCGACATTGGCTCTAAATAGTTCCGGCCATTCAGTACAACTTATATTATCAGTTTGACTCTATTTTTTGTGGCGCAAATACGTAAATCCCAGCAACCAGAAAATGGTTTTCACCCTATTATTTAAAATAGGTTTCCGATTTTTCACTAAAATACGTAATAAAAAGTTAATGTTTGTGTGGCGGCGACATCTATATGCCCCTCATATAGACAACGGATGGAGGAAATCATTACTCACCATCCTCAAGAGATGGCGTTACCTGCACTGCGATCAATAATAAACCTAATGGAAGCCTACATCGCGCAAATGAAATTCGGAAGCTAACTCTTCATATATACGATGCCCGACCAACATCAGTCGGGTCGCGGCCCCCGAGCTACCATCACCCAGCTCGGAGGAAGATCGACCCCTTTGGCCTTCCTACATTTGCTTTGTTCGTAATTTTTGTATTGTTCGTGGTAATTAGATGCGGCAGCGATCAGTGGCAGTGCCCGGGCGTGACGGATCGCTGCGTCAACCTGACGCAGGTGTGCGACAACAAATTCGACTGCCCCAACGGCGCTGACGAAGGTATGTGCTTATTTAAAATGAACTACATGTTCTCATTGTTCTTAATGTTTAACATCTTTTTTTTATTCCACGCGGACCAGGCAGCAGACGGGACTCGAACCCGCACCCTTCGCAATCCGGGCGAATGCACTGACCAATTATGCTACCGCGGCCCTGGCGGACCGCGTCGACATTCTTCTAGCCATTCTTAAGCTGCAAGGCAGCGCCTAGTTATATTTTCTTTAGATTTAAACATCAAGCAGTTACATGCTTTAAAATAATAAAAATTATAAATCTTTTTACAAGCTTTTATTTAACTTGCTATGTATGTTTGTTACGGTCAAATCTTACAACTCAATTTTAAAGCACTTGCCCTCAACCGATTAGGCTGAAATTTGGTATGCTCGTTCAGTTCGGATGACAATGCATGCTTAACAGTGTGACGTCATTCTAAATCCAATATAGCGGCATACCCAAAATGGCGGACCAATCATTTTTAATGCATTCCTACAATATGGGTATCAAATTAAAGGGCTTGCTGAGAGTAACTCGAAAAAAATTTGACGTCACTCTCAATCCAATATGGCGGACTTCTAAAATTTGAAAATCTATTTAGAAACAAACTTTAACTAAATTTTCTTTTTTTCTTTTTAGCGCATTTGAATAAAAGCTTGTTTTTAAAAAGGTTTTTGTACCTTAATTTAATTTATTTTAAAAAGATGGCAAACAAGGTTATGGCCCGTCTGATGGTAAGCGGCCGACATAGTCAAAAGAGCATTTAGGCTTTCGAGTGCCTTGCACCCAATTGTACATATTGTTACCTATATATTTTCTGGGGACATTAGGTGTTAGTTGCATTGTCACCAAAGGCCTTTGATATATTGTTTTAAACTTTCATGGTCACTAACATTATAGCCATTAACGGGATTGTTACCATGTACCTTGTTTTTTATGAGTCTCCGATATGGGATATCGGATTGAGCTCCATAAACCACAAATTATTTCGACAGAACGCCACTACATACCAAGATTGGTCAGGGTAGCGATTGAAATAACCAAACACAAGAATTTCAATCGTGAGGATGGGTTTAAATTGTCAAATGTATGGAATCCAGTGGTTCGTATGTGTAAAAACCGCAAAAATCAAAAAAGTGTCGTTCCGCGATCTGATAATGTGAGTAATGTGTGTCGGGAACAAGTGCGAGTGAATAGTGAGAATGTGACCAGTGGTACGGGTAGCGAGCGCAGTAAAAGACGACGTCAGAGGGTAGACCGATATGTCTGCCAATAACATCTACCCGCAATTACTTCAGTTACTCCGTGATCATGGCGCTTGCAACAGTGCCGAAATATCGGAGACTCATAAAAAACAAGGTACATGGTAACAATCTCGTTAATAGCTATAAAGGCCTTTGAGTTATTTACAATAAATACTCCTGTGTTGATAGGTGACTTCATGCATTGTGTCGGAATTAATTTTTCACTGTATATAATAAATGGATACAGGAAGAAAAAAAAACAGCCCTTTGTGAGTTTCTCGCCGATTCTTCTCAGTACAAGGTCTCCCGCCGTAGATTTGCGTACCTATGGCGTAGTTTTCACAAGTGCTTGTAACAGCCTAGACTGAAAAAACAAAGAGTGTTCTTATGACCACACTACTGAAGTGAAACTTATTTAGCTCCATCTGTAAATATATATATCCATACTAATATTATAAATGGGAAAGTGTGTTTGTTTGTTTGTTTGTTTGTCTTCTCTTCACGCCTAAACCGCTGAACCGATTGTGTTGAAATTTGGTAAATGTATAGCTTGAACTTATGAGCCTGCTATAGGCTACTTTTTTTTAATTTATATATTCGAATTTACATAATTTTCAACTAAATTAATCATTTTCATGGTTGGTCCCGATAGAGATGGCGCTACTGTCACGAAGACAGATTAAATTTGAAATGTGGAAGTTGCTATCTTAACTTAATAATACGAGATGGCACCACTCGTGTTCAATACCGAGTATTTTGTGTTAGTGTTTCATTTATTAAATCGAGGTAATTTTACGCAATTTCTTTCTAATCTTATTTTTAAAATTAAATCTAGCAAATACTACTCCAAATTTATAATATAAAAATATCATTTTCGAGTGATTATAGATAGAGATGGCGCTACCATCTCGAATACCAACTCAACCGAGTAGTCTCTCTTGAAATAATATTTTCTGAGTGACTTATCAGATGACACCACCCGTCTTTAATATCGAGAATTTTTAATTGCTAAAAATGTGAGTTGTGATATTGCGTTTTTTTCAGATCGCGCTATTTATGAACATGACTTTTTAATATTTATTGTTAATTTTAACGTGATGTAGGTAGATATTTTAATTAAAACAATATTAGTAAACAAAAACGACTTCCTTCAGTGTCCTAATATCTTACCAGAAAATCTTATAAACATCAAATAGATATTAAATAATCAGCTGTTTACAGTAGACAGGTATTAAATAAACAGCTGTTATGATTTATTTTAGTCCCTCAATCGAGTATTATCCAATAATTTTCAAGTGGAGATGATCCTGGATGTTGAGTAGAGGTAGGCGCTACCAACTCGAATAACAATTCGAAAACCAAGCTGTTGCGTGTGAAACTGAAGAGATGTCGCTACCCGAGTCGAGTTTACTTGCACTAAAAATCTGAGGTTTTTCGGATGGCGCTATTCATGAACATTACTTTTTTATATTTATTGTTTTTAACTAGCTGTTACCCGCGGCTACGCTCGCGTGATTTTCCTATTTGAGGCTATCATCCTCTTTTGACATAGTGAGTAAAAAAGTAGCTTATAGCAACCCAAAGCTTCAACCTATTTGTGCAGTCATTGAAGCGAAAAATACGGTCTTACCTCCGAATTTTTTAAATGTGAACCGTTTTGCATGAAATTTTGGAATTAGGCTCACCTTACCCTTAACTTCAAAAGTGAAAATGATCAGAACTCCGCCTATTATTTTTAAGGGGTATAAACAACCCCTTAATGGAAAAATTGACATTGAGCCATTGTATAGCTAGAAAACATGTCTAATAGTAAGTGATGAAATTGTAAAGTATTTTCTAACATAATTACCCCATATTAAAATCATTTTCAACCCCTTGAAAATCTTACAACCCTTGCAAACAACCCCTAAATTGAAAAAATCCCAAAAACTACTTTGGTATGACATAAAAAGATTTTGTATTAGAATGCATAAAATGCATCTGCTCGCCGCTAGATGGCATTGACCACATCGATTAAATTTCAGACAAAATAAAAAACGGCTTTGATCTTTGATATCTAGCTTAATATTGCACTTAGAATACTCTATAAAAAACCAAATTGTTCATTGTTTTACCTGCTACAATTTTGTTCTTTATAAAATTTTCGATAAAACTTACATTTTTGGAGATATTTGCAAAAAACCGATGAAAAACGGGAAAAAATTTCGAATTTTCAATTGCTAATAACTTGAAAAGTATTGGATTTTTTGAAAAACTTTATAGATGATTTTTTGCTTAAAATTTATTACAATACTTATTTTGAAAAAAAAAATCACCCCCCAGAAGGGGTGGCAACCATCATTTTCACTTTTGAAGTTAAGGGTAAGATGAACCTAATTCCAAAATTGTATGCAATTCGGTTCACAGTAAAAAAATTCGGAGTTATAATGCTTCAATGACTGCACTATATATACTTACCAAATTTCAAAGTGGTTTAGGCTTCGAGGAAGGATAAACAAAACAAACACTCTCATAATAATACCTAATACTACTATGGATAGTACGTAATAAAACTTCAAAATGTAAAAGCATTAGTATTATTAGAATAAAGGGTTTAATTATTTTAAACACATAGCAGTACTATTTAAGTACGCTACTGTACACGATGTTATGTGTTTTTCCATAATTTTTATCAGTGAGTCAATTTTATACATTCGAAGAAACTACCAAAATACCTACCTAATTCATTTAATGCACAACAAAACCAAATCACAAAGGAAAACAAAAACAGATATGGTACCTTGGTAAATCGTATTTCTTTAAAATCAATCAAGGTAGGTAGGTACCTACTGCTTGCTGTTGCTTACCTGCTGAAATGGCTCAATGTCAATTTTTCCATTAAGGGGTTGTTTACACCCCTTAAAAATAATAGGCGGAGTTCAGATCATTTTCACTTTTGAAGTTAAGGGTAAGGTGAGCCTAATTCCAAAATTTCATACAAAACGGTTCACAGTAAAAAAATTCGGAGGTAAGACCGTATTTTTCGCTTCAATGACTGCACTAATAGGTTGAAGCTTTGGGTTGCTATAAGCTACTTTTTTACTCATTATGTCAAAAGAGGATGATAGCCTCAAATAGGAAAACCACGCGAGCGTAGCCGCGGGTAACAGCTAGTATATATATATACTAGCTGACCCAGCGAACTTCGTACCGCCATAAAAAAATAGGGGTTGGTGGTAGAAAGTTGGAAATTTAGGGATGTATGTATTTTTGTATGATGTATCATAAAAAAATAAAAATAAAAATATCTAAAATTGAAAAAAAAAATTAGGGGTGATTTACCCTTAACATTTAGGGGGATGAAAAATAGATGTTGTCTGATTCTCAGACCTACCCAATATGCACACAAAATTTCATGAGAATCGGGAAAGCCGTTTCGAAGGAGTTTAACTACAAACACCGCGACACGAGAACTTTATATATTAGATGTGTGTATGTACTATATATATATATGTATGTACACATATTACTAGCTATAAAAGAAAGAGAGAAAGAAAATGTGCGCGCGCACTGCTTTATTTTGCTTATATCCCCCACTCAACTTCCGTTCACCTCGCTCGAACACACTTTTCATAACGCGTAACGCATTCGCCAGCTTACCCCCCAAATCAAGCGTGCGTAGTTTCAATTAATTTTTTTTTTTTATTTTGATTTATTTTTATATCAGGTGCAAGCTGCGACTTCGCGGAGTGCAGCCACCAGGCCGGGTTATGTTCCAACGGCTGCAAGCAGACGCCGCTGGGCCCGCTGTGCCTGTGCCCGTCGGGTGAAGTGTTGAGTCCCGACGGCCGCACCTGCACCGACCTCGACGAGTGCGACCCGCCCGGACTGTGCTCGCAGGTAATGACCCGCCCCCGGGGCTGCCAGCAGACGCCGCTGGGCCCGCTGTGCCTGTGCCCGTCGGGTCAAGTGTTGAGTCCCGACGGCCGCACCTGCACCGACCTCGACGAGTGCGACCCGCCCGGACTGTGCTCGCAGGTAATGACCCGCCCCCGGGGCTGCCAGCAGACGCCGCTGGGCCCGCTGTGCCTGTGCCCGTCGGGTGAAGTGTTGAGTCCCGACGGCCGCACCTGCACCGACCTCGACGAGTGCGACCCGCCCGGACTGTGCTCGCAGGTAATGACCCGCCCCCGGGGCTGCCAGCAGACGCCGCTGGGCCCGCTGTGCCTGTGCCCGTCGGGTCAAGTGTTGAGTCCCGACGGCCGCACCTGCACCGACCTCGACGAGTGCGACCCGCCCGGACTGTGCTCGCAGGTAATGACCCGCCCCCGGGGCTGCCAGCAGACGCCGCTGGGCCCGCTGTGCCTGTGCCCGTCGGGTCAAGTGTTGAGTCCCGACGGCCGCACCTGCACCGACCTCGACGAGTGCGACCCGCCCGGACTGTGCTCGCAGGTAATGACCCGCCCCCGCGGCCCCGCGGCCCCGGGACGATCGGAGATGTAGCCAGCGAAATCATCAACATCATCCATCATCAGATCATTGCTTACCATCCACCATAGATGGGCCACACGTTTGTTTGCCAAAAAACGTATTCATTCTTCGCTATATTGGTAGGTAGTCAAGTAATATCGAATAGAAAACATATATTTAAAAAAAAACAGAAAAATTATCGAAATATATATTTATTCATTTCTCGAAATTAAAAATACCACTGACATAAAAACAGCTCCCGTTACATTTATGCGTATTCGTGGCTTGACGACCTCCGTGGCCGAGTGGTTTATACGCCGGGTTTCATGTTGTCGCCGACTCGAGAGGTCTCTGGTTCGAATCCAGGTGGAGGCAGATGTTTGTGTGATGAATACGAGTATTTGTACTCCAGTCATGGATGTTTAATATGTGTTTCTATATGAATATACTTATATTATATACAGTATATGTATTCTATCCGTTACCCTAGCAACCCATAACACAAGTCTTACAGTGCTTACTTTGGGGCTAGGCTAATTGGTGTGACTGTTGGAAATATTTATTTATCATCATCAGCCGATGGACGTCCACTGCTGGACATAGGCCTCTTCAAGGGATTTCCATTTAGACCGATCCTGCGCTCAGGTGTCGTCAGTCCACCTCGTGAGGGGTCTACCGACCCTGCGCTTCCCGGTGCGAGGTCGCCATTGAAGCACCCTGGGACTTCAACGTTCATCGGTTCGCCGAGCTATGTGCCCCGCCCATTGCCATTTCAGCTTGGCGATCTGTTGAACTCTGACGGTTGTTCTAGTACTTCTACGGATTTCATTAACCCGTTTAAACTAATTTTATTTAATGAGTGATGTGCGTGAAAATCTAAGAAACAAATATGTTGTCTATTATCAGATATGCACGAACACGAAGCGTTCGTACGCGTGCGGGTGCGTGGAGGGGTACCGGCTGTCGGGCGACAACCACACCTGCAAGGCGGCCAACCACTCCGCCGCCTTCCTCATCATCTCCAACCGACATTCCATCCTGGTGGCCGACCTGAAGGAGCAAGGTGAGTCCATACTCACACGTAGCGTTCGTACGCGTGCGGGTGCGTGGAGGGGTACCGGCTGTCGGGCGACAACCACACCTGCAAGGCGGCCAACCACTCCGCCGCCTTCCTCATCATCTCCAACCGACATTCCATCCTGGTGGCCGACCTGAAGGAGCAAGGTGAGTCCATACTCACACGTAGCGTTCGTACGCGTGCGGGTGCGTGGAGGGGTACCGGCTGTCGGGCGACAACCACACCTGCAAGGCGGCCAACCACTCCGCCGCCTTCCTCATCATCTCCAACCGACATTCCATCCTGGTGGCCGACCTCAAGGAGCAAGGTCGTACCATACTCTACCCGTATACTCGTAGACAAGCATTCCTTACTATACTGTAACAGCTTCCTCTGGGACAGAAGGTTAACAAAACTTTAGAAAGGTTTTTCAATTGGTCGCGTTTTATACGGATATAAAATCATAATTTAATAAATCTAAAACTGTAGGTGATCCCAAACTCTGAACGCATTATGATTCTATTAAATTGAAGAGTCCACATAAAGCAAATAACTTACATTGAAATGTGAAATTTTGTAATCGTTCCGGTTAAACCTGTCGTCTTTACTCTCGATAAAAAAGTTTTAGAAACATTGTTTTTTTGTGCACATTACGGCCGCCTTCTATATCCTTTCTCGGAACACAACTATTATGTTTCTACATCATTTCTATTTTTTAAGCATACACTGCTAGATGTTTAAATCTATTTCTATATCGAATTTCATGTAAATCGTTTCAGCGGTTTAATCGGAACCACACAGACACACTTACTCATTTATAGTATTAGAATGGACAAAAATATTTCTTTAATATCCTCATAGGCCTTGAACTTTTTTTTTTGTAAAAAGAAACAGCACTAAAGGCTATTTTAATAAAATAAAATAAAATAGCCTTTATGGCTGTTTCTTTTTGTTTGCTGTTTTATTTGATTTTTTATTTATTTTATTTATTTTATTATAGGCCTTGAACGGATCCCCATCAACGTGGAGAACGTGGTCGCGACAGCTTCGAACATGCACACAGGCACGCTGTTCTGGTCGGACATGAAGCTCAAGAAGATCTCCCGCCTCGACCGCGGCAGCGAGCCCCAGGTCATCATATCCACCGGCCTGGATCTGGTCGAGGGGCTGGCTTACGACTGGGTCGGCGGCAACGTCTACTGGCTGGACAGCAAGCTAAACACCATCGAGGTTTGCATTTTTATAACTTCATTAAATGTCTGTGTGGGGCCGTTCAAGTATTCTCTCTTCGGTGGTGTAGTGTGAGGAGGGTCGTTGCGTTCCCTAAAAAATGGTTGAGCGAAGCGATGGCTGGTTCATGCGTCATGCTCGTGAACGGGTGCTGCCAGCGGAGATGAGTCTGCTCTTGCTTCATTGGATGCTATTAACCGTTGTACTAAACTTTAATCGTTCATTTTTTTTTGCCTAAACAGCAGGACACGGCATTCCTTAACTTTGTTAAACCAGTTTTTATAAAATCATAATTTTTATTATATTAGCATTTGTAATGGAAAGTGACTTTATGAGTTACCTCATATTGAAGTCATTTTTTCAATTTGATTTGCGAACCGATGGCGTAGCTTTTCGGCATTCACAAGTGCTTGTAACAGCCTAGGCTGAATAAACGATATTGATTTTTTTTTATTACGTAAGCAGCTTTATTAAAAAAAAATCAAAATTCAATATCGTTTATTCAGTCTAGGCTGTAACAAGCACTTGTGAATGTCGAAAAGCTACGCCATCGGTTCGCAAATCTACGGCGGGAGACCTTGTACTGAGAAGAACCGGCAAGAAAATCAGCAAGGGCTGTTTTTTTCTCCCTGTATTATATACAGAGTCGTCAATTTGAAAAATGACTTCAATATGAGATAACTCATGAAGTCACTTTCCATTACAAATGTAAATGATGAAAAAACAGATTTAAAATTAAAAAATGTGTGCGTGTACTAGTGTACACACGTAAGAAGTGAAACTTCTTTATGACCTTATTTTTCGAAAAATGATCTACATGCAACTTTCCAGAAATTGGTTAAATAAAGTTAAATTAGATAAAGTTTAAACAAAAGGATTTTATTATCATAGACATGAATACAAATTACTGCCTATGAAACTGTTATGATTACCGAGCGAGTATAGCTGAGCGAGTATCGCTGAGCTAGTATCGCTGAGCGAGAATAGCTGAGCGAGTATCGCTGGGCGAGTATCGCTGAGCGAGTATCGCTGATTCGATTCTCGCTCAGCGATACTAGCTCAGCGATACTCGCTCAGCTATACTCGCTCGGTTAAGCTGGCTTGGCTGTCAAAAGCCGTGCGCGTGCATTTTAACTCAGGACTGCCAATTCGTTTCTAGTTTCTACTGGCTTATCGTTCATCGTCGGAGCTGGAACATGTGCCTTAGATTACTGAGCCGTGTAATCATAACAGTTTCATAGGCTGAGCGAGTATCGCTGAGCGAGTATCGCTATGCGAGTTTGGCTGAGCGAGTCTTATCTTTAATAACTATTGTCACTCAGCTACAAACGAGTAGAGAGAGTTCTCACCGGCGACAGTGTGATCATTCAGCTATCAACTATTAATATAAAAAAAGATGGCGCGTAACGGAAAAATGTGACGCGTAACCGAAAAATGTGACGGTAAATTTTTTTCCAACGCCGATAAAGAAGTTTTACTTCGAAAAGTTTAGGAATGCCGTGTCCTACTGTTTAGGCATAAAAACAAATGTACCATTAAAGTTAAATACAACGATTAATAGTACCCAATGTAGCAAGAGCAGACTCATCTCCGCTGGCAGCACGCGTTCACGAGCATGACGATGACGATTACAATTATTTACCCCCTCCTCCCCCTCGTCAGCAAAAGTAAGCAAAGCTCTTACCCCTCTCCCCCATCCTTACGTAAACATTGGTACCTATATGCATTTTTCCTTTAATGTATTCTGTTTTTTTTTATTGATTCATGAGCTTTCATGAGCTTCATGAGCAGCAATACTTAAAAAGGCTTAATCGATGATGCTGATGTAATCACCATCTCTACCCCCCACCCCCCATGTCATCAAAAATAAGCAAAGCAAAGACCCCCCTGCCCCCCTATAGTGCTTACGTAAGACTAGAGCCCCCTGTTTAGGAAATTTTTCGCCGTCAGTTGGCACCACTGTGACATGAGGGCTTTTGTGTGAAGTTTTCGGCGCGAATTAATGAGGATACGTAACGATATTAGTTGAGAATGCCGATTTATAGAGCTAAAGATTCCATAAAATACAGTGGTACAACTTTTGTTCTACGACAAATATTGACGAAGCTATGACCAAATTACTACGAACTTTCGGCTGGCCGCGTGGTGGCTGTGACGTCACAGAGCTCTAGCGCTCGGGCGCGAGCGTGCGTGGAGACGCTACTGAAGTTCGACCGAAGTGGATCACGAGCGAGCTCAGTGACGTCACACATTTCGGCCGCCAGTGAATATTGGCTACCATAAATATAAAATAGCAACGAATGAACCGATTTCGGTGATTTAAAAAGTATATTTATTAAAAAGCTTATTAAAATGCGATTCAACTAAGAATAGGACCGACTGGGCGCCATATTTTGACGTCACAGCTGTCAATTCAATCCAAATAGATAGAGTGAGCAAAAAAATGTTGCTATTTAATAAAACTTATTTACTAAGATCAAGTGAGACAAAACATCAGATTTTTTAATAAAATAAATTTACTAAGGTTGAGAAAGAACACAACCGATTTTTAATAGTATTTCTTTATTAAGACTGTGTGAAAAAAAACATTAACAGAATCTAGCTCTTCAATTTCGCTCATCTCTGCATTACTGCCGGAGAAGTTATGAATAATCATGCAGGTCACATACGAACATGCATCCTATATGTAAATGATGGTTTTAAATCGAGTTTCTGAACGCAACATAAAGTGCGTAATAACATTTGGTTGACGATTTAGGTTATCAACCATTCATAGCCAAAGCTCAATAAATGAAAAAGAAAACAACTAATATTAATTATCAACATTTGTTATTGTTTGTTTAAAAATGCTTGGTTTTTTAATTCTAGAATCAGCAGAGTGCTAAAAAAGTGTTCCGAGACTTTTTTGCAAACCGTACTTTTTAAGCGACATTTGACAGATGGAGGTCATTGGCTTTCCTATTCTTATTTGAATCGCATTATAGATTATTATACTGTTGATGTTGAGTTGATTCTCATTGAACGAGCGGAGGGTGCGGGTTCGAGTCCCGACTGCTGATTGGTCCGCGTGGATTTTTTATAGTAAAATTTCCTTTAGATGAAATGAGGCTAAAGGTACAATTCCTCAATGGGCTGCAGGCGACAACCGCAGGCGACACTGCGGCTGACCGTGCATTATATGCATAGTGCATCCGCGGCATGTCGCCACGCTCGGAATAAATTACATAGAGATTCATAGAAAGTAGTAGTGTCGCCTGCAGTCTGCAGCTGCGGCCTGCGGTCTGCGGTTCAGTTCACACTTGTACCTTTAATCTTGTTTTTAATTCTATTCATGAACTTTTCAACTGGTACTATTAGAACGAAGTTCTTTATCGCACGGTACGAACTTGGCGGTAAAAAAAGTGGAAGACTTTTCCGTCACAATTTTCCGTCACGACCGTCAACTGTTTCGTAGTTTATTGTGTGAAGTTGTATGCTCATTCTTGTATTTATTTTCAACTTCGTATCAACCGAGTATTCCACGACAATACAGATACCTTTATTTAAAATACTAGCTGTCCCAGCGAACTTCGTACCGCCATAAAAGAATAGGGGTTGGTGGTAGAAGGGTGAAAATTTAGAGTTGTATGTATTTTTGTATGATGTATCATAAAAAAATAAAAAAATATATATCTAAAATTAAAAAAAAAAATTAGGGGTGGATTACCCTTAACATTTAGGGGGATGAAAAATAGATGCTGTCCGATTCTCAGACCTACCCAATATGCACACAAAATTTCATGAGAATCGGGAAAGCCGTTTCGGAGGAGTTTAACCACAAACACCACGACACGAGAATTTTATATATAAGAAGATAATACCTTTGCTTTTTTTCTCTAGGTGGCTAAAGAAGACGGCAGTGCCAGGACAGTATTACTAAGCGGTAACATCACTCAACCAAGAGGAATGTGCTTGGACCCCGCACCTGAGGCCCGCTGGCTATTCTGGACCGACTGGGGCGAGAACCCGCGAATAGAACGCGTCGGCATGGACGGAACGCAACGATCTGCCATCATAACCACGAAAATCTACTGGCCAAACGGTCTCACTTTAGACACGGCCACAAAAAGAGTCTATTTTGCTGATTCTAAGTTGGACTTCATTGACTTCTGCTACTACAACGGAACTGGACGCCAGCAAGTCCTAGCTGGAAGTCACTACCTTCTCCACCCTCATTCTCTGACGCTATTCGAAGACACGCTTTATTGGACTGATAGGCAGTTAAACCGTGTTCTGTCTGCCCACAAGTTTAAAGGCAACAATCAGACAGTGGTTTCTCACCTGATCTCGCAGCCTCTGTCCATTCACGTGCATCACCCATCGTTGCAGCCTCAGTACCCGTCACCTTGTGCCTCGAATCCTTGCCAACATTTGTGCCTGCTGAGCCCCAATATGACCGCGCAATACACCTGCATGTGCAAGCCTGGATTCAAACTTCTCCCTGATGGAAAATGCGCAGAAGGTACGCCTATTAACATTATAAATTGTGGATAATTCACTAGAAGTTTAATATCGCCAATTAAGTTTTAAGTACATTCAATTCGAATAATTAAAGTAATATTAGTAAAAATTGTGCTAATATCAATTTAGCTAAAACTAGATTTATCCCATATACAATAATGTCAAGTTGACATTACCGTTTTGTCATTTTTCTATGGATTAAAGCTAGTTTAAGTTGAATCTAGATTTAGCAAATTCTCTGAAAGTGGTACTTAAGGCGTGCGTTGCCTTAAGCGGGAGAACAAGCAAACATTGTATATAGATATAATAGGTGTTCTAAATGTCGAAAAAAAAAATTTAAATAAATATTTGTGTTTTTGTAGAAGAGTCTGCGTACCTGATGGTCCTGAAGGGATCTCAGATCATTGACCTGTCGCCGGATGGATCCGGCAGAGCGGGACAACTGGCTTCAGTGGTTGGAATTCAAGGTACAATAATAATTACCATAACTTGGTTGATATTTCGTATAATAATCGAGTGAAATTGTATGTCTTAGCCCACCGTTTATACATAATTTTTTAAGTTTCAGTATCAAACAACGATATTAATACTAGATACACCAACACGAACTAAATCGTGCCCGAAATGTGTCCAAAAGGTACATTGGACACATTTCGGGCACGATTTAGTTCGTGTTAAAAAGTATCATCATCATCATCATCAGCCTATTAATGTCCCCACTGCTGGGGCACAGGCCTTCCCTATGGATGGAATAGGGAGATTGGGCCATGACCCACCACGCAGGCCCAGTCCGGTTGGGTGGGTGCTAACGACTACAGATGCAGCCGGGACCAACGGCTTAACGTGCCTTCCGAAGCACGGAGGAGCTCGAGATAGTAAATTTTTGGTCACCCATCCAATGACCGACCACTGCGAAAGTTGCTTAACTTCAACGATCGTAGCCGAACGCGCTAACTACTTGCGCCATCGAGCTCCTCCTCCTCTTAAAAAGTATATTAGGCATTATTTAAACATTAAAAGTCACCTTTGATACATACTGTGTAAGGTTTTAATTAAAACGCATGCGTCAAAGAGTTATAACAGTTGGAAATGCAAGCTCGTAAAATTTTACGGCTTATTGCTATATGCGGAAGAATATGGACCTAATTTTTTTGTATCTACGCGCAATTCTGAATGCACTGTTAGCAATATAGTAGGTACGGACCGCGAGGAATAGAGACTGCTATATTACCGACAATGTATTTGAATATCACAAATATTTTCTATTAAATCAGTTTATAATAAGTATTACAACAAAATTTGCTTCAAATGCGTTAAATTAACAAACATTGATTAGATACCTGTCGAAAAAAAGACACTTTACATACTATAAGTAGTTTTTTCGCATTTTTCACGGAGCTCTGCGGCAACTTGACTTTTCATCGGTCTACGCGTGACTGTGAACCAAGAAGTGCTTGGGACACATTTTGAGTGCACGTTGTGTAGGTATTTAATATCATTGATATCAAGGATACTAACAATTATTCGCCATTTTGACATTACAACGCTTTATTGGCATTAGGCTACTCTTATACTGGCTGCTTCACTTGGCTATGCGTGTTTGGTATTTGTAAGCATGGCATCAGTCTATCCTTTTCGTTCCCTGTAGAGCTTGATAAGAGCAGACTGCTGTTATGTTTTCAAATAGCAAACACAAATAGCCAAGTGAAGTGCCGGTATTAATTGTTGCCCGAACACAATGATAATAGTCATGCCAGCCTATTGCCTACAATGGTTGGTTCTCAGTTTTCTCTTTAAGTGCGTTATTTACCTTCTGTATTCAAAGAATATTTAACTAGTTTAAAGTTTATTTATTTATTTGATTAGGTACACATATAGCAGTACATATCATACATTACAAAATAATTCATAACATAAATACACTTATTATATGCTTGCCGTAAGTGTACACAGCATTCAATGTATAAAAAGGGGAGTTTTTTAACTATAATAAAATTTAAAAAAATAATTATATAATGAAATCAGAGTAACATTAGAATTTGATCAAAAAATTAAATTGATTTAGTAAATAAAAATTAGATCAGTAAATTAAAAATCATATTGAAGAGGCTGCGATGGAATCCAGCAGCTTATGTCTGAAGTGGTTTTGACCATGGTTAAATATTTCAATGTCTCCCAATTTGTCATTCATGTTTATTTTGTAGGTGGTGTGCAACTAGACTACGATCGCCAAGGACACATGTTGTACTGGCTCCAGTCCATATCTGGCGACAGCGAAGACGACGAGAACTGCACAATCTACAGTATGCCTTATGGCGGAGGAAATAAGGTCGAATTCTTCGGTCAGGATACGGGCATAGTGGGTGCCCCCTCTGCTATAGCGTTCGATTGGCTCGGCAGGAACCTCTACATGGCTAACAGAGTCGCCAGTAACATTGAATTAGTGAGGGTGGAAGGAAAAGTGAAGTACAGGACTATCGTGATGGCCAATGATGGCAGCAAGTTATCAGTGGCCAAACCTAAAGCGATTTGTCTGGACCCAACGGAAGGGTAAGTTTCTCTTTAGCAAAATACGTTAATTATAACTTCTAAAGAAAATATAACTAGAAAAAAATCCACGCGTGAACAAAAACTGTGTGTGCACAAAAATTGTGGGTTACCTACAATGCGAAGAGATGGCGCTGCCTTAAGCTTAGCTAAGTATAAGAAAGGCTTGAAAGAATTCGACACAGCCATCAGAGCCGCGGTAGCATAATAGTCAGTGCATTCGCCAGGATAGCGAATAGTGCGGGTTCGAGTCCCGTCTGCTGCTTGGTTCGCGTGGATTTTTTCTATTTATATTTTCTTTAAAATACTGTAATATTTGTAAAAAAGAAAAAAATTAAAAACTAATTGTCTATGGACTACGGTGGCCGCTTATCTTTAGGCGGGTCATATGCTTGTATGCCACTCTTTTAACATTAAAAAAAAGCAGATTTATATTTTTTAAATATTTAAAATATCAACAGATTCATTTATTTTTTTACCTCAAATTAAATGAAAAAGGAAAACGAATACAACAAATCACTCTTTTTTTATGTCATTCGCTATTTACATCAAGCGTAGGACCAGAATACATTTCTGTGTGTATGAGGCAGAAGATCATCCGCAGTCAATTTCGCTGGCGCTGACGTCGAAACTAACCGTTCAGCCTCGGTTATTCGATTGAATCTTTATTTATAGGCAAAGAAGAGTTTTATTTTTTCTAATTTCCTAATATTTAAATTTTTTGTTTTAGCAAAATCTACTGGTCCGACGAGGGAGGTTACGGGGTGCCAGCTAAGATCGGAAAGGCCAACATGGACGGGTCCAACCCCGTGATTTTAGTGGACAGCATCGAACGACCGGAAGCCATCACCATCGACATCGAGAAGAAGATCCTCTACTTCAGCACGCAGTACCCCGCCAGCGTCGACAGCGTCAACACCGACGGCAATGACCGCAAGACAATCCTCAGCGAAGCCAACGCCATCTCTTATCCAAAAGTCGTAGCAGTGTTAGATTCACGTTTATACGTCCTAGACCCTCGCAGTGAGAAAATCATCAAAGCGGATCTACCGAACGGGGATAACATTAAAACCATAATCGACAACGAAAGTGACTTGAAATCCCTCACTGTATTCCAGAAAAGAAAGATGATCCATCATCCTTGCACTCTCAACAACGGAGGTTGCGAACAAATATGCATCCCCAGCGAAGGCGGATCCCGCGTTTGCGGCTGCTCCATCGGCTACAGGAAAGAGAACGAAATACACTGCGTGCCTTACAAAACTTTCGCCGTTGTGTCACAACTGGACCTCATCCGTGGCTACAGTTTGGACTCCAGCTCCGAAGCGATGGTCCCAGTCACGGGATTAGGCCATCATATCTTACACGTGGACGTTCACTTCGCCGACAACTACATTTACTGGGTGGAGTTCAACCGCGGCCAATGGAACGGCATCTTCCGCATCAGACCGAACGGAACGCAATTACAGCATGTCGTTAAAGACGGTATCGGCAGCAATGGCATCCGAGGACTCGCTATAGACTGGGTGGCCGGAAACTTGTACTTCACGAATGTGTTTCCGCACGAGAATTACGTAGAGATGTGCTGGCTCGACGGCTCTAACAGAAAAGTGATCGTGAAAACTACAATGGACGCTCCTAGGGAACTCGCCGTTAATCCGCTGAAGAGACTGCTATACTGGATCGACTACGGCCAATACCCGCGTATAGGAAAAGCCTATTTAGATGGCACCAACTGGCTGACACTTGTCAGTTCGGGGATATCGAACCCTCGCGATTTGACAATAGACATGCTGACTCACGACGTGTACTGGGTCGACTCGAAACTAGATCAAATCCAGAAGATTAACTACAACGGCGGCAACAGGCAGCTGATTCGTTCGAACCTGCCGAACCCGATGGGTATCGCTATTCACACCGGCAACGTGTACTGGGTCGATCGGAACCTGCAGACTATCTACAAAGCTTCCAAATTGCCTGGAAATATGTCTATGCCGGAGAAAGTGCGGACGAACTTGCCTAAACTTCGGGACATCGTGATATTCGACGCCAACAACCAGCCTACGGACGATAACAATCCTTGTAGGAAATTTGGCAACGGAGGATGCGAGCAACTCTGCTTCAGTTTCCCCGCGGACGCTAACAAAGGATACACGCACCGATGCGACTGCGCTACCGGAAAATTAGCCCAGAATCAGAAAAAATGTGAAGTCGTAGACGAATACTTGGTATTCACGACCAGAACTGAGATTCGCGCCGTCAACCTCGATCCTAAATCCACCGGCGTACCCTTCAAGCCTATCGGCAACTTAACCAACGTCGTCGGCGTCGAATTCGACTATACAGACAACAAGCTGTTCTTCACCCAGATCAGGCCTTGGGCGAGAATCGCGTGGATGTCCGCTAACAAACCGGAACCTTCTGGCATTCAAAACATCCTGAACAAAGGCATCAACCCGGAGGGTATTTCGTACGACTGGACTCAAAAGAAGATCTACTGGACGGATAGCTCTAATAATTCCATTTACGCGATGAACTTGGACGGCAGCGAGCTCGTCATGATCGCTCGAGTAGAAAGACCGCGTGCTATAGTCGTCGATCCTTGCAACGGCACTCTGTTCTACACCGACTGGGGCAGATTCGGAACTTCCGGCAAAATCTACAGAACCACAATGGCCGGGTCATTAAAGAAGGCCATCGTAGACAAGGATCTGTCGCAACCGAGCGGCCTCACTATCGACTTCGACGATAACATGCTTTATTGGACTGACGCCGTGCGCGAGAAGATCGAGAGGTCAAAACTCGACGGCTCCGACAGAGAGGTTCTCATTTCGGCCACGATATATCCATTCGCCATCACAGTGTTCGGAAACTACATCTACTGGACTGATTTGCAATTGCGAGGGGTTTATAGAGCGGAGAAGCACACGGGAGCTAATATGGTCGAAATGGTGAAGAGATTAGACGATTCGCCGCGAGATATTCACGTTTACAGTCCTGGCCGACAGCGCTGCACTGTTAACCCTTGTAATATTGCTAACGGAGGCTGCGCACACAGTTGCCATCCGGCGCCGAATAACACGGCCGAATGTCGCTGCGACGAAAACACCAAACTAGTAAACGAAGGCCGCATGTGCGTCGCCAAAAACATCACCTGCGACTCGAGCAAGTTCTTCTGCGCGAACGGTAAATGCATCAGCCGCATGTGGTCGTGCGACGGCGACGACGATTGCGGCGACAACTCCGACGAAGACCACAACTATTGCGCGTATCATTCCTGCTCGCCCAACGAGTTCCGCTGCAACAACGGTCGATGCATATTCAAGTCGTGGAAGTGCGACCACGAGAACGATTGCAAAGACGGTTCTGACGAGGAAGGATGCCAGTACCCGCCTTGTGCAGAAGGAGAATTCACTTGCCTTAACTCCCGCTGCATACATATGGCTCAACTCTGCAACGGCATCAACGACTGCAAGGACAACGTCACATCGGATGAAACTCACGAACGCTGCCCGCGGAATACCACCTGTCCCGCTAATCACTTAAAATGTGAGAAGACAAATATTTGCGTGGAGCCATACTGGCTGTGCGACGGTGACAACGACTGCGGCGATAATTCAGATGAAGACCCGCTACATTGCGCGCAACGTACTTGCCCGCAGAACAGTTTCCGCTGTCCCAACCACCGTTGTATTCCTGCTACCTGGTACTGCGACGGTGATGATGATTGTGGTGACGGTGCTGATGAGCCGCCAGAATACTGTCGCTCCGAAGGCCGTACTTGCTTCGGTGATTTGTTCACTTGTGACAATGGCAACTGCGTCCCTCGCATCTACATCTGCGACGGCGACAACGACTGCCTCGACGGCAGTGATGAGGACGACCGCCATCAATGCAATGAACGCAAATGCGATGCCGATACGGAATACACTTGCGAAGCGAATAAGTTCTGGGGCCGTGCTCAATGTATACCTAAGAAATGGTTGTGCGACGGCGATCCAGATTGCGTAGACGGCGCTGACGAAAATGCTACTATCCATCATTGCGCTGCTCCAGCTCCTTGTGCTCCAGATCAATTTCAGTGCACTAACGGTCGATGCATCAACGAAGGCTGGCTTTGCGATCACGACAACGATTGCGGCGATGGCTCCGACGAAGGGAAACGCTGCAACGCTGTCTACAAAACTTGCACCGACCAAGAATTCAAGTGCCAGAACTTCAAATGTATACGAAACCACTTCCGTTGCGATGGCGAAGATGATTGCGGCGATCGCTCTGATGAAGTAGACTGCCCTAAAGCAAACGACACCTGCCCGACGGGCCAATTCAAATGCGGGGACGGAAAGTGTATCGACATGAAACTGGTCTGCAATAAGGTTGCTGACTGCGCGGATGAATCCGACGAACCTGCTCATTGCAACGTCGATGAATGCGCGAAGCTTGAAGTAAACCAATGCGGGCATAAATGTGTTGATACGTTGACGGGATATTATTGCGACTGCAACCGCGGCTACAAGCTGCTGCCCGATGGAAAGGCATGCGCTGACGTCGATGAGTGTTTGGAGACTCCCGGGGTTTGTTCCCAACGATGCTCGAACACACCAGGATCATACTACTGTAAATGCGAAGACCGCTACTACGAACGCGAACCCGATGAGCGTACTTGCAAGCGAAAGGACAATACTCCCGCCTGGATCATATTCACGAACAAATACTACGTACGCAACATGTCTACGGACGCTTCTCTGTACAGCCTCGTCCACCAGGACCTCATGAACGTAGTTGCGATCGATTTCGACGAAAAAGAGAAGAAAATGTACTTCGCCGACGTTTCCGCGAAGACGATCTACCGGTCAGATTATACGGACCCAACTCCGACCAGAGAAGTGGTCATCCGGCATGACTCCCACGGCCTCGAGGGTATCGCCGTCGACTGGATTGGAAGAAAGCTTTACTGGTTGGACCGCCACTCGAAGAATTTGGACGTTTCAGAGCTAGACGGCACTAGACGAAAGACGTTAAAAACGGGCATCGCTGACCCTCGAGCGATTATCGTACATCCTGGAACCGGCTACCTGTACTACACCTCGTGGCATTTACAAGCCTACATTGGGAAGATGGGCATGGACGGCTCTAACTTCACCGTTATACTGAACTGGGAGCAAGACATCGCCTGGCCTAACGCCCTCACTATTGACTATTTCACGGACCGCATCTACTGGGCTGACGCTCATCTTGACTACATCGGGTCCGCAGACTTGGAAGGTCGGCATCGCCACGTAGTCCTCTCGGGCTCGAAAGTACCGCACGTGTTTGCGCTAAGTTTGTTCGACGATGAAATATACTGGACTGACTGGAATCTCAAAGCGATCAGCAAAGCGAACAAGCACTCCGGCGAGAACCTCAGAATATTGAGAAACACGACTCATCGACCATACGACATCCACGTCGTCCATCCGCTGAGGCAACTGCCTTACCCTAATCCTTGCGGCGATAACAACGGAGGATGCTCACATTTGTGCCTCATTTCCCCTCCTCCGGCCTCCAGCTACCTCAATATCGACGGCTACGGAGAGGAAGGAGCTACCAGTTACAAATGCGCGTGCCCGAACCAATTTTACCTCGCGCGCGACATGAAGACTTGCATCGCCAACTGTACGGACGGGCAACATCGGTGCAACGGAAAGGACGAGAAATGCGTGCCTTGGTTCTGGAAGTGCGACGGCGAGCGCGACTGCCTCGACGGATCGGACGAGCCCGCCTCTTGTCCGGTCCGGCACTGCCGCGCCGGCGCCTTCCAATGCCGAAACACTAACTGCACACCCGCCGCTACCATCTGCGACGGCACCGACGACTGCGGCGACGGGTCGGACGAAGCTCAATGCGCTCACGACTGTCCTCTCCTAGAATTCAAGTGCAAATCGAGCGGAAGGTGTATCTTGGATAGCTGGCGTTGCGACGGCGACGCCGACTGTAAAGACCGCAGCGACGAAGACCCGACCATGTGCCACGCGCGGGCCTGCGACCCGGCCACGGAGTTCGCCTGCAACAACGGCCGCTGCATCCCGAAACTGTGGATGTGCGACTTCGACAACGACTGCGGCGACGACTCCGACGAGCCCGCGTACATGTGCCGCCAGAGAAATTGCACTACCGGTTGGCGTCGTTGCCCGGGTCAGGCCAACTATCGGTGCATCCCGAAGTGGCTGTTCTGCGACGGCAAAGACGACTGTCGCGACGGCTCCGATGAGTTGCCCGAGAATTGCCCGACGTGCGATGCGACCGCGGACTTTACGTGCGAGAACATGCGGTGCGTGCCGAAGCAGTGGTTGTGCGATTTCACGGACGACTGCGGCGACGGCAGCGATGAAGCGGAGGCGGTCTGTCAACATAAATACCGAGAATGTTCGGAGTCCGAGTTCAAATGCGGCAACGGGAAATGTGTATCGTCGCGATGGAGATGCGACCACGAGGACGACTGCGGCGATAATTCGGACGAGCTGGACTGCGGAGGCTTCCAGTGCAAGAACGGCACGTTCCAGTGCAATTCGGGTCACTGCATTGCGTCTTACTTCCGCTGCGACGGCGACCGCGACTGCCGCGACTTGTCCGACGAGATCGGGTGCCCGCCGCGCTACCCCGGCGGCAGATACTGCCCGGAAAGCAAGTTAGTTTGCCTCACAATTATATCCTTGCCTCTTTTTCTATCACATTTAATTATTTATTTAATCATGGAAAACAAACGGCATGTTAAAACTAAGGATAAAACGAGATGATGTAGCATTGATGAGCCTTATACAGTTTTCACAAATACAAATGAAATAAATATATACTTAATCCAATATTAATATCGAGGCCGTAGATAAAACTAATAGAATAATTTAAAACTATATATATATAAAAACACAGAAGTAAAAAATTAAGCATAAAGCCATACCCACAGAGAAAATGGTGATATAAATATAAAGTAATTTAAATTAGGTTTTATTATTATTAATAAAAAAAATACTATTCACAATCTTTTTGAAATAATTTTGTCTTGTTGAACTTGAATAATTATTGTTGAAATTTTGTGTTACTCTATTAAAGTAGGAATTCTGTCTATAATTTGTCGAACGGAATGGTACCTGGATTTGAAGATGGTGTCGTTGGCAGTTAATAATATAATTTGGCAGTTAATAAATGACATGTAAGAGTTAAGTAAAATTTCAGCCTCATAAAGTAAGAAAAAATTTGTAGCCATGGCACATTGAATTAATGATTTTCTAATTTAATAAATAACGAGGCTAAGTTTGTCTGAGAAATTACAACATTTTTAATCTCGTCTATCTATATGTCGTTTCAGATATACTAATCATCAAAACTAAAGATTCATTAAAAGATATTCTACATACTCATCGCATAAATTTAACTCTCCCCAAAGCTCAACTGTTACTCACATTTCTTGCAAACATTTCCACTATAGCCCACATAAAATCCCATTTGTTTTTGCACAGATTCCAATGTGCGAACAACCTGTGCGTGTCTCAGCTAGACCTGTGCGACGGCACCGACGACTGCGGCGACAACTCGGACGAGGCTCCTTCAATCTGCACCAACTTCAACTGCGACACGCTGCGGCGATTCCACTGCCAGAACCATAGATGTGTGCCTAGGTATGGATACACACTTTACTAATGGAATAGACAAACATTTTCCTATCTGATAAACATAGAAAAATGTGGAACTCCACTGCAATCGAACGGGCCCAAAAGTGTTGCCTCGTTTTGCTTTGATGTAGATAGATTACCATTTACCATAGTTTTGTTTTTGACGACGACCTCCATGGCCGAGTGGTTTGTACGCCGGGTTTCATGGCGTCGCCGACTCGAGAGGTCCCGGGTTCGAATCCCGATGGGGGCAGATGTTTGTGTGATGAACACGAGCATTTGTACTCCAGTCATGGATGTTTAAATATGTATTTCTATATAAATATACTTATATATGTAAAGTATATGTATTCTATCCATTACCCTAGTATCCCATAACACAAGCCTTATAGTGCTTACTTTGGGGCTAGGCTAATTGGTGTGAGTGTTGGAAATATTTATTGTTTATTTATTTATTTATTTTGAGCTTGAATTATACAAATAATGGTGTCGATTCTAGCATGATTCTCTAAACCTAAACTTAAATTTGACAGCAGTATATCCTTGTCATTCTCTATACAGAATGAAAAAGAGAGACTGATGTTAAATTTAGTTTTAAGTTTCGAGAATCACGCCAGAATTGGCACCATTCTCTTCCTAGAAAATATAGGGATTAAATAAAACTAGTTCTTCACGGGTTAATGCACGAAACTTTATTTACTTATTGACGTTTCGCAGCCTTTGCATGCTGCGTCGTCGGAATCATTTTTTTGAAGTTATACTTCTTTAGGCGCGTTATGAAAAAATGATGAGAGTGAAATTTTAAGATGCGCGCGCATCACTGTAACAAAAAATTACTTATTACATCACTGTAACAGCCTACATAAGTACACGCACCCATTTTTTATTTAATTTTGTCGAGCTGTCTTTCGAAGGTAGCTTGTAAAGGCTGCGAAACGTCAATAAATAAATAAAGTTTCGTGCATGAACCCGTGAAAATCTAGTTTTATTTAATGAGTGATGTGCATGAAAACCTAAGAAACAAATAAATATATGGATTTTTTGAATTGTGCCATACAAACGTGTCTGCAAGCAAACAGTTCCGGCGCCACTGTCAAGATGATTATAAAGTATTTTAGTAGCATTGATTAGCAGATAAACCGCGTACTTCTTGTGCAGCTCATTTGCAGCGTTCATTCTTTTTATTTTAAGCGGGCTAAGCACAATAACCTATAGACGCTATTGCCTTAAATAGAAAAAAATGGGTGCGTGTACTTATGTAGGCGCGTGAGAAGTTATCCTTCTTTGGCATCGTTTAAAACTAGTTTTTAATTGCATGCAAATAATTAATTACAATAAATTAATAAAAAGTCTGGAAAAGGACACAGTCAATAAAGTTCAGTTTTAATTTGAAAAAATAAATAAATAATCAAAATATTCAATTAAAATCGCTACTGAATATAATTTATTAGAACATATGTGATTTGCACTTGTATGAAACTCAAACACGTATTCCGAATATACAAACTAGAAACATGTGGATAAATATTATAAATATGAATACCTATAACTGTTACTTTATTACAAAAAATAAAGATGTGGTTTTTGGTTCTACTACACCAATGGTCAAGAGATGGCGCTGTAGTCTCCTGAATCGCGCTTTGGTTCCGTTGTTCCAGATTAATAAATACTTTTGATAGGCCTTCACAATGCAGTCGTTAGCACCCACTAAATAGAGATTCTATTTCTATTTTGTTGGTAGATTTTCTTAATGTGCGGTAAACACAAAAGTAACGCATGAAGTTGGTCGCTAAAGCCACCAACTTCATGCTGTTAAAATTTTGTGTTACAGTGATGCGCGCGCATCTTAAAATTTCACTCTCATCATTTTTTCATAACGCGCCTAAAGAAGTATAACTTCAAAAATAACTTGAAAAAATTCGACGCGGACCAGGCAGCAAACGGGCAGGCGAGTTCGAGTTCTGTCTGCTGCCTGGTCCGCGTGGAATTTTTGCTAGTAAAATTTTCTTTAGATTTAAACATCTAGCAGTAACATGCCCAAAAAATTAAAAATATAACTTAAAATGATTTTTTAATGTGTAACATCTTTCCCTCGCTTTCCTGTAATTTGTGGGAGTGATTTCGTGAAATGGGACACGGAAGTGTGTAACAGGAAGTCGCGAAAGCACGCGCTATTTGATTTGATTTTAGAACATAATGTTCAAATGGCTTATTCCTTTTGTAGTCGGTTTTATTTCTTTTTTTACTAATATAAGGTGAGGTTTCAAATGTTACACATCATACGCGACTACTGTAAGGCTTGCTCTTTATGGTCACGTGACCGAAAACGTATAGGAAGACTAAAATGACGTCACTTGCTAGTAAACTTCCGGTCAAAGTGACATTACATTGTGTCTTTTGACGTTTTAATGACAGTCGCGTGACGTCACATACTAGTAAGACGCCATAATATCCAGAGAAAGATTTTCACGGCAAGTTGAAAGTGGAATTTTTGATTTAGTTTTTTTTCTGAAATACGTAGCCAAATTGATTGTGTAATTTATCAGCTAGCTAAGCTAAAATAAACTATTAGAATATTTCTAAAGATTATTGGAATAAATAGGTACCAAGTATGCGACGGCGTGGACAACTGCGGCGATGGCTCCGACGAGAACAACATGACACTCTGCGCCGCCAGGACTCGACCCTGTGACCCTTACTCGCAGTTCCAGTGCGCTAACAAGCGATGCATCGAACGAAATCAACTGTGTGACCTGAAGGACGACTGCGGAGATAGTTCTGATGAACTGGGCTGCCACCAGGCGCTCACCTGTTCGCTGCACGATAAGGGTCAGTAGTTACCGTATATTATGTTATTGAATTTTTATACGAGACCGCTTGGTGCAATAGGGATGGTGACAAATTTTTTTTTCTTCCATTATCAGGTAGATTATCAAAAAGTATTGGACACGTATTTTTTCTTTTTTCACATAATATAAACATTGCAGAGATATTTTGATATAAGTGAAAATTCACTCAAAAGTGACGTCACGAGCCCCTACTCCCAAACTTTGACGCGCTATAACTTTGTCATTTTTTGGTTGATTGCCCAAAGAAAAAATACGTGTCCATTATTTTTTGATCATCTAACTAACGGACTAAATAGAATTTCGTTTACTGTACCCCGTCATCACCCCTATTGTAGCGATTCTATAATTATTATGCAAGAAAATATTTTTAATCGAATAATGGTCGTTTATCTATTTAATTATGAATGTAATTTCTATAGCCCTCGATGTAACAGTGATAGCAATGTACCTAAAAGCGGTATTATTTTATTGTCTACATTTTACATTAAGTATGGTGGAGTTGACTCCAAAAAGAAATCAAATTGTTGTAAGAAATAGCAGCAGTAGGTTAACATACAATTATTTATTTTACCTTTGGAGTAAATCGAAGCAAAGCTTGACAGCGTACCATACCAATTAAAGGACTTGAGCTAAATCTCTATACCTACAAAGAATAATAATTTTTTTTTATTATTATTTACTCCAACAACTACTGCACATATCGCTAGATACTTTTTGCGCATCTTTTTTGTATCAAATAGTGGCAGGGGAAAGATAAAATATATACACTCCGGCAATTTTTTTGAGCGACGACCATAGACAAGGAAATGCACAGAAGCAATTATAAATACAAACACGTCTACTGCGCATTATTTGTGTCTGGCTTTGCTCGAGAAGTTTGTCGGTAACTATGAAAAGCTTGCCTCAGACACGACTTTTAAACCATCACATGATAAATTCTAACGATTCTCACGAAGACGAAGTGTCGTTAGATCTCCATACACACACATGCCTTAACACATGTTCCTCTCGTTGTCCAGGTGGCTGTGAACACTTCTGCACAAACTTAACAATCGGCGGCGCGGGCGGGTACATCTGCACCTGCTTCCAGGGCTGGATCGTGTCCTCCGCAGACCCCAAGCGATGTGTCGACGTCGACGAATGTTCTACCGGCCTGCATCACTGCTCGCAGCTCTGCGACAACCTCAACGGGTCCTACGGCTGCGCCTGCCGCGACGGATTCAAGTGAGACACTTTGTGTAGATGTGAGAAATGTTCTACCGGCCTGCATCACTGCTGCAGCTTTGCAGCAATCTCAACGACTCCTACGCCGGATTCAAGTGAGACACTTTGTATAGATGTGGGGAATGCTCTACCGGCCTGCATCATTGATGCAGCTTTGCAGCAATCTCAACGACTCCTACGCCGGATTCAAGTGAGACACTTTGTATAGATGTGGGGAATGCTCTACCGGCCTGCATCATTGATGCAGCTTTGCAGCAATCTCAACGACTCCTACGCCGGATTCAAGTGAGACACTTTGTATAGATGTGGGGAATGCTCTACCGGCCTGCATCATTGATGCAGCTTTGCAGCAATCTCAACGACTCCTACGCCGGATTCAAGTGAGACACTTTGTATAGATGTGGGGAATGCTCTACCGGCCTGCATCATTGATGCAGCTTTGCAGCAATCTCAACGACTCCTACGCCGGATTCAAGTGAGACACTTTGTATAGATGTGGGGAATGCTCTACCGGCCTGCATCATTGATGCAGCTTTGCAGCAATCTCAACGACTCCTACGCCGGATTCAAGTGAGACACTTTGTGTAGATGTGAGGAATGTTCTACCGGTCTGCAGCATTGCTGCAAGCTTTGCAGCAATCTCAACGGCTCCTACGCCGGATTCAAGTGAGACACGCGTTCTTGATGAGAAATTTAAATTCTGGTAAGTGTGAAAGTGGCAACACTCAATGACATCTACGAGCTCGATCAATGTGTTTCATATATGTATCGTGATTCGATCAGCAGTGATGCAATCTTCGTCAGTCACAAGTGACTCGGAGAGACTATAACTAGTAAAAGTTACGATTCGATCCCTAAGCCTTAACATATTTGTATTTAAGCTTTGGTTTGACGTGAAAACGTTTTATAAATACATGAGCACCAGCTGCACGCACGAAAAAGTGTCACTTCTGCCGTGAATGCCCTGACTAGCGTAATTTGCAGCTAAGCCACGTGACAAATAATATAAATTAAATTATATTGTACTGTTAAATTTTGACGACCTCCGTGGCCGAGTGGTTTGTACGCTGGGTTTCATGGCTGTCGCCGACTCGAGAGGTCCCGGGTTCGAATCCCGGTGGGGGCAGATGTCTGTGTGATGAATACGAGCATTTGTACTCCAGTCATGGATGTTTAATATGTATTTATATAAATATACTTATATATGTACAGTATATGTATTCTATCCGTTACCCTAGCATCCCATAACACAAGCCTTATAGTGCTTACTTTGGGGCTAGGCTAATTGGTGTGAGTGTCGGAAATATTTATTTATTATTTATTTAATCATGTTGTGTACACGTAAAAAGGAGTACTGTCTAGATTATTTCAACTATATTTTTTTGTTAAACATGTATTGACTGTATTCTGTTAGTGTACCTATAATAAATAAATAAATAAATAAATAAATAAATAATGCCAAATATTGATCCGATCGGAGCCACATCAGTATGACAAAAAGCGAATAATGGATCAACATAAAGCCTCTGGATCAACATTTGATCTCGGATCAACAATTAACTGATCTTACGTCTCGAAAGATCAACATTTACCGTGTTGGTATCTCTATATCTTTATATATATAATTCTTCTGTGAGTGTGTATGTCACTGAACTTCTCTTAAACGACTGGACCGATTTTGATGAAATTTTTTGTGTGTGTTCAAGGGGATCTGAGAATGGTTTAGATTCACAATTTTGTTCGCTGGACAACCCCTATTTTTTTAGGGCGGTACGAAGTTCGCTGGGTCAGCTAGTATTATATATAATACTAGCGGACCCGACAGACGTTGTCCTGTCTACACGTCTTTAATTTGAAAATTTCAAACTTAAAAACATTGTCCAGCGGACAAAATTGTGAATCTAAACCATTCTCAGATCCCCTTGAACACACACAAGAAATTTCATCAAAATCGGTCGAGTCGTTTAAGAGAAGTTCAGTGACATACACACTCACAGAAGAATTATATATATAAAGATATGAGTGATGCGTACGCTGCTTCACTCCTCTATGCCTTATGCACCGCGAAATGTTAGTTTATTTAAGAAAAGAAGTTTCACTTCAGATCTGTGGTCCGTGTATACTAATATTTATTTGTTTCATAAATGAGAGTAATGAGCATGGTTCTTTCATCTGCCAAACGTCCCTTCTAGCTCATTTTTATTAACTGAAGCAAAGTTACTTCCCTCCACTGGATGTTAATATGGTGCATTGATGCAATAGAAAAACGTGTAGCTCCAGTGCCTGTTACTTTACAACCCTTTTTTACAAGATTGGGCATTATAAGCAGAAAAAACCTATCTGCCTTACTACTCATAAACTGAAATCTGAATTATATCTACCTACGTGGCGTTAGTGTGGCGAATGTGAAAAGTAAGATTTTCTTACTTCATCAAATTTAACCTATTCAAAATAGTTTAATGCGTCAATTTTAACTAACTTTTATTGTTCCAGATTGGCAGACAACTTATCTGGAGTGTGCAAAGCGATGGACAAGGAAGTGGTGTTAATGTTCGCCAACGGACCAGAAATCCGGGCATTCGTACAAGATAAGAACGAGGAATTCGACGTGATCACTTCAGAGAAGAGAATAGAAGCTATCGACTACGACCCTATCAAAGAGATGGTGTTCTGGGCTGACAGCTACGATAAAACTATCAAGAGATCTTACATGGTGAACGCTTTAGACGGACAAGCGAAGACTGGCTTCGCTCAAGACTTGAACATGAAAGGCAACGCTAAACCCACCGCTTTGGCCGTAGATTACGTCGGTGACAACCTATACTGGACTGAAGTAGACCGGACTGGGTCGAAACCCCGAGGCCGCGTGATGGTGGCCAGAACTGACGGAAGATACAGACGTGCTTTAGTGTCTGCTGGAATAGAGAACCCGACTTCTATAGTTTTAGATCCTCAGATGGGAAGGATGTTCTGGGGGGACGCTGGCTCGGCACCGAAGATCGAAATCGCTTGGATGGACGGCTCGAAACGTTGGCCTTTGGTTACTGAAAACATTAGGCATCCAGCTGGACTGGCTATTGATATGGGAATGGACCATTCTATCTACTGGGCGGATACTAAATTGAACACGATTGAAATGATGAAGTTTGACGGAACTAACAGGAAAGTAGTGGTCCAAGGCGAGGCGTTGAGGCACCCATTGTCGTTGGATGTGTTTGAGTCGTCCTTGTATTGGGTGACGCGGGACACTGGGGAGTTGGTACGACAGGATAAGTTCGGAAGAGGCGTGCCTTTCGTCATATCAAAGGACCTAGTCAACCCGTCCGCGGTTAAAGGTAAGTTTTTTTGTTTTAAAGCTAGTGAAAACTCATTTTCTAAAGAAAATATAACTAGAAAAAATTCCACGCGGACCAGGCAGCAGACGGGACTCGAACCCGCACCCTTCGCAATCCGGGCGAATGCACTGACCAATTATGCTACCGCGGCCCTCACGGACCGCGTCGAAATTCCTTCTAGCTATTCTTAAGCTGCAAGGCAGCGGTAGCATAATTGGTCAGTGCATTCGCCCGGATTGCGAAGGGTGCGGGTTCGAGTCCCGTCTGCTGCCTGGTCCGCGTGGAATTTTTTCTAGTTATATTTTCTTTAGATTTAAACATCAAGCAGTTACATGCTTTAAAAATAATAAAAATTATAACTATAATTGCTATTTCTTCTTTCAAATGTTTAATACTTGTAAAAGTATTCATCTGACATTGTGGGTTTACCTATAATGCGAAGAGATGGCGCTGCCTTGCAGCTTAAGAATAGCTAGAAGGAATTTCGACGCGGTCCGTGAGGGCCGCGGTAGCATAATTGGTCAGTGCATTCGCCCGGATTGCGAAGGGTGCGGGTTCGAGTCCCGTCTGCTGCCTGGTCCGCGTGGAATTTTTTCTAGTTATATTTTCTTTAGATTTAAACATCAAGCAGTTACATGCTTTAAAAATAATAAAAATTATAACTCATTTTCTCTTTGTTTTGACCCACAGTTAATTGCTCTCAACAGATTTCGTATGTAGTTCACGGATAAATAAATTTAAAAAAAATCCATAATTGTGGATGTTGGTACTGTTTGATTTACCGTATTTTTGTTGATTGTCACAAGATCGATATCCTTTCTTTAGACAAAAGTAATTAAACATTGAATTTTAAATTTGCAATAGGCTAGTTGACCCTTTTTGGAAAAAGGTTTTAAATGGTTAATAATAATGTTGTATTAGACCGAGAAAACATGTATTGTATTTTTTGAGATTCTAGGTGTCAAAAAAAAAAGCTAGAAATCTTTAATTTTAAAATAGACTTTTCATGGACATACAAAAACGCTGTCGACCATTTTAGTCTATAGATTATCTATGCTATGACGTCAACCTGTAGTAAACAAAAACTCGTAAGCACGTAGAAAATAACATCTGAGTTTATAATAAAAAAAAATATGATTTTTAATAAATACCACGAAAAATAAAGTAATTGTCATAAATATAAAAACACATCCTTGAAGACTCCAGGAAAGTTGTGGATTAAAGTGCCGAAAGAAATTAACCTACGGAACTTTATTACAGTTATTCATATGGTGTATCAGTTTTATATTTATTACTACATTGTAATACTAAATGCACTGTAGTTAAATAGATGCCTTGTCGTTTCTCTGCTCCGCAGAGCAGAAATCGGGATTTAGTGCAAAAAATTCACCAACCATCAAGGCGTCAATTCTTGGCAGATTTGTGCTTTCTGCTTTCACAAAGCCGGCATCCGTAATTAGTTTTGTCAAAAAAACAGTAAACGGAAACTTTTCTAAAGTTTAAAGTGTTTTAAGATAAATTTAGTCAGACGAAAGAATTCCACAATAACACGCGAATGACATTTAGTTGTTAACTACAACAAGAGACGTCACAATCATGGCGGATGTGGCGAACAGCGTTTTTAGTGTTTAAAAAATATAGACCAAAAATTTTTTTAAAATTAAATTTCTACAGCAATCTTCTGCTTTTATGAAGTGAAATCGATATATTTAGGTTCCTTAGACCAAACACTTTAAGAAATAAACATTTATTTAATACAATTCGACATGAGTCAACTAGCCTATTAACAATTTTACCACTCAGAAAATAAATAACTTTGTAATGAAAATGTGTAGATCAAATGGTTGACTAGTTTGAAGTTACTTACGAGTTTATTTTTTAATTTTCACGTACATCAATAATTTTTTAAAGGCACATTTTGAATGAGTAAAAGATGCGATTATTTTTTTTTTCATTTCACATTGTTCTTGACGTTTCGGACACTACAAGCTCTGTGATCTCAAGATTCAATACTGACTCATGGGCACTATCTTATATTTTTTTAACTTATATACTTTTTGAGAATCGTGTCAGCATTAGATCCAATTTAAAACTTTGCGGTTTTACTACAAAAAAGTTAGACACTGTTTCAAACCTTGTTATGACAAATTTCGTATGTATTTTCTTTCTTAAAGTCGCGTTGAACGAATGTGTAACTGCTATGGTCATACGGAAAGTGTTCAAAAGTGTTTTATGCGAATATTCATAAATATTTCCTTAGTAATACGTGTAAATTGACCCCTTGTATGTTGTTGTAGTATACCACCCTGCCCGTTACAACACGTCCGTATCGGGCGGTTGCCTGCGCGCGTCCTGCTCGCACCTGTGCCTGTCCGTGCCGGGCGGCCGGCGCTGTCTGTGTCCCGACCGCATGCAGACTGCTAAACTATCCGCGGACAGACCCTGCGATACTGGTCCGTATATACTATATCCACCACACTACACTCTATATACACACGACACCTGGGCCTGTCCGTGCCGGGCGGCCGGCGCTGTCTGTGTCCCGACCGCATGCAGACTGCTAAACTATCCGCGGACAGACCCTGCGATACTGGTCCGTATATACTATATCCACCACACTACACTCTATATACACACGACACCTGGCGCCTGTCCGTGCCGGGCGGCCGGCGCTGTCTGTGTCCCGACCGCATGCAGGCTGCTAAAACTATCCGCGGACAGACCCTGCGATACTGGTCCGTATATACTATATCCACCACACTACACTCTATATACACACGACACCTGGGCCTGTCCGTGCGGGCGGCCGGCGCTGTCTGTGTCCCGACCGCATGCAGACGCTAAACTATCCGCGGACAGACCCTGCGATACTGGTCCGTATATACTATATCCACCACAACTACACTCTATATACACACGACACCTGGGCCTGTCCGTGCCGGGGCGGCGCTGTCTGTGCTCCCGACCGCATGCAGCGCTAAACTATCGCGGACAGACCCTGCGATACTGGTCCGTATATACTATATCACCCACACTACACTCTATATACACACGACACCTGGGCTGTCCGTGCCGGGCGGCCGGCGCTGTCTGTGTCCCGACCGCATGCAGACCTGCTAAACTATCCGCGGACAGACCCTGCGATACTGGTCCGTATATACTATATCCACCACACTACACTCTATATACACACGACACCTGGGCCTGTCCGTGCCGGGCGGCCGGCGCTGTCTGTGTCCCGACCGCATGCAGACCGCTAAACTATCCGCGGACAGACCTGCGATACTGGTCCGTATATACTATATCCACCACACTACACTCTATATACACACGACACCTGGGCCTGTCCGTGCGGGCGGCCGGCGCTGTCTGTGTCCCGACCGCATGCAGACCGCTAAACTATCCGCGGACAGACCCTGCGATACTGGTCCGTATATACTATATCCACCACACTACACTCTATATACACACGACACCTGGGCCTGTCCGTGCCGGGCGGCCGGCGCTGTCTGTGTCCCGACCGCATGCAGACCGCTAAACTATCCGCGGACAGACCCTGCGATACTGGTCCGTATATACTATATCCACCACACTACACTCTATATACACACGACACCTGGGCCTGTCCGTGCCGGGCGGCCGGCGCTGTCTGTGTCCCGACCGCATGCAGACCGCTAAACTATCCGCGGACAGACCCTGCGATACTGGTCCGTATATACTATATCCACCACACTACACTCTATATACACACGACACCTGGGCCTGTCCGTGCCGGGCGGCCGGCGCTGTCTGTGTCCCGACCGCATGCAGACCGCTAAACTATCCGCGGACAGACCCTGCGATACTGGTCCGTATATACTATATCCACCACACTACACTCTATATACACACGACACCTGGGCCTGTCCGTGCCGGGCGGCCGGCGCTGTCTGTGTCCCGACCGCATGCAGACCGCTAAACTATCCGCGGACAGACCCTGCGATACTGGTCCGTATATACTATATCCACCACACTACACTCTATATACACACGACACCTGGGCCTGTCCGTGCCGGGCGGCCGGCGCTGTCTGTGTCCCGACCGCATGCAGACCGCTAAACTATCCGCGGACAGACCCTGCGATACTGGTCCGTATATACTATATCCACCACACTACACTCTATATACACACGACACCTGGGCCTGTCCGTGCCGGGCGGCCGGCGCTGTCTGTGTCCCGACCGCATGCAGACCGCTAAACTATCCGCGGACAGACCCTGCGATACTGGTCCGTATATACTATATCCACCACACTACACTCTATATACACACGACACCTGGGCCTGTCCGTGCCGGGCGGCCGGCGCTGTCTGTGTCCCGACCGCATGCAGACCGCTAAACTATCCGCGGACAGACCCTGCGATACTGGTCCGTATATACTATATCCACCACACTACACTCTATATACACACGACACCTGGGCCTGTCCGTGCCGGGCGGCCGGCGCTGTCTGTGTCCCGACCGCATGCAGGCCGCTAAACTATCCGCGGACAGACCCTGCGATACTGGTCCGTATATACTATATCCACCACACTACACTCTATATACACACGACACCTGGGCCTGTCCGTGCCGGGCGGCCGGCGCTGTCTGTGTCCCGACCGCATGCAGACCGCTAAACTATCCGCGGACAGACCCTGCGATACTGGTCCGTATATACTATATCCACCACACTACACTCTATATACACACGACACCTGGGCCTGTCCGTGCCGGGCGGCCGGCGCTGTCTGTGTCCCGACCGCATGCAGGCCGCTAAACTATCCGCGGACAGACCCTGCGATACTGGTCCGTATATACTATATCCACCACACTACACTCTATATACACACGACACCTGGGCCTGTCCGTGCCGGGCGGCCGGCGCTGTCTGTGTCCCGACCGCATGCAGACCGCTAAACTATCCGCGGACAGACCCTGCGATACTGGTCCGTATATACTATATCCACCACACTACACTCTATATACACACGACACCTGGGCCTGTCCGTGCCGGGCGGCCGGCGCTGTCTGTGTCCCGACCGCATGCAGACCGCTAAACTATCCGCGGACAGACCCTGCGATACTGGTCCGTATATACTATATCCACCACACTACACTCTATATACACACGACACCTGGGCCTGTCCGTGCCGGGCGGCCGGCGCTGTCTGTGTCCCGACCGCATGCAGACCGCTAAACTATCCGCGGACAGACCCTGCGATACTGGTCCGTATATACTATATCCACCACACTACACTCTATATACACACGACACCTGGGCCTGTCCGTGCCGGGCGGCCGGCGCTGTCTGTGTCCCGACCGCATGCAGGCCGCTAAACTATCCGCGGACAGACCCTGCGATACTGGTCCGTATATACTATATCCACCACACTACACTCTATATACACACGACACCTGGGCCTGTCCGTGCCGGGCGGCCGGCGCTGTCTGTGTCCCGACCGCATGCAGGCCGCTAAACTATCCGCGGACAGACCCTGCGATACTGGTCCGTATATACTATATCCACCACACTACACTCTATATACACACGACACCTGGGCCTGTCCGTGCCGGGCGGCCGGCGCTGTCTGTGTCCCGACCGCATGCAGGCCGCTAAACTATCCGCGGACAGACCCTGCGATACTGGTCCGTATATACTATATCCACCACACTACACTCTATATACACACGACACCTGGGCCTGTCCGTGCCGGGCGGCCGGCGCTGTCTGTGTCCCGACCGCATGCAGACCGCTAAACTATCCGCGGACAGACCCTGCGATACTGGTCCGTATATACTATATCCACCACACTACACTCTATATACACACGACACCTGGGCCTGTCCGTGCCGGGCGGCCGGCGCTGTCTGTGTCCCGACCGCATGCAGACCGCTAAACTATCCGCGGACAGACCCTGCGATACTGGTCCGTATATACTATATCCACCACACTACACTCTATATACACACGACACCTGGGCCTGTCCGTGCCGGGCGGCCGGCGCTGTCTGTGTCCCGACCGCATGCAGACCGCTAAACTATCCGCGGACAGACCCTGCGATACTGGTCCGTATATACTATATCCACCACACTACACTCTATATACACACGACACCTGGGCCTGTCCGTGCCGGGCGGCCGGCGCTGTCTGTGTCCCGACCGCATGCAGACCGCTAAACTATCCGCGGACAGACCCTGCGATACTGGTCCGTATATACTATATCCACCACACTACACTCTATATACACACGACACCTGGGCCTGTCCGTGCCGGGCGGCCGGCGCTGTCTGTGTCCCGACCGCATGCAGACCGCTAAACTATCCGCGGACAGACCCTGCGATACTGGTCCGTATATACTATATCCACCACACTACACTCTATATACACACGACACCTGGGCCTGTCCGTGCCGGGCGGCCGGCGCTGTCTGTGTCCCGACCGCATGCAGACCGCTAAACTATCCGCGGACAGACCCTGCGATACTGGTCCGTATATACTATATCCACCACACTACACTCTATATACACACGACACCTGGGCCTGTCCGTGCCGGGCGGCCGGCGCTGTCTGTGTCCCGACCGCATGCAGGCCGCTAAACTATCCGCGGACAGACCCTGCGATACTGGTCCGTATATACTATATCCACCACACTACACTCTATATACACACGACACCTGGGCCTGTCCGTGCCGGGCGGCCGGCGCTGTCTGTGTCCCGACCGCATGCAGACCGCTAAACTATCCGCGGACAGACCCTGCGATACTGGTCCGTATATACTATATCCACCACACTACACTCTATATACACACGACACCTGGGCCTGTCCGTGCCGGGCGGCCGGCGCTGTCTGTGTCCCGACCGCATGCAGACCGCTAAACTATCCGCGGACAGACCCTGCGATACTGGTCCGTATATACTATATCCACCACACTACACTCTATATACACACGACACCTGGGCCTGTCCGTGCCGGGCGGCCGGCGCTGTCTGTGTCCCGACCGCATGCAGGCCGCTAAACTATCCGCGGACAGACCCTGCGATACTGGTCCGTATATACTATATCCACCACACTACACTCTATATACACACGACACCTGGGCCTGTCCGTGCCGGGCGGCCGGCGCTGTCTGTGTCCCGACCGCATGCAGGCCGCTAAACTATCCGCGGACAGACCCTGCGATACTGGTCCGTATATACTATATCCACCACACTACACTCTATATACACACGACACCTGGGCCTGTCCGTGCCGGGCGGCCGGCGCTGTCTGTGTCCCGACCGCATGCAGGCCGCTAAACTATCCGCGGACAGACCCTGCGATACTGGTCCGTATATACTATATCCACCACACTACACTCTATATACACACGACACCTGGGCCTGTCCGTGCCGGGCGGCCGGCGCTGTCTGTGTCCCGACCGCATGCAGACCGCTAAACTATCCGCGGACAGACCCTGCGATACTGGTCCGTATATACTATATCCACCACACTACACTCTATATACACACGACACCTGGGCCTGTCCGTGCCGGGCGGCCGGCGCTGTCTGTGTCCCGACCGCATGCAGACCGCTAAACTATCCGCGGACAGACCCTGCGATACTGGTCCGTATATACTATATCCACCACACTACACTCTATATACACACGACACCTGGGCCTGTCCGTGCCGGGCGGCCGGCGCTGTCTGTGTCCCGACCGCATGCAGGCCGCTAAACTATCCGCGGACAGACCCTGCGATACTGGTCCGTATATACTATATCCACCACACTACACTCTATATACACACGACACCTGGGCCTGTCCGTGCCGGGCGGCCGGCGCTGTCTGTGTCCCGACCGCATGCAGACCGCTAAACTATCCGCGGACAGACCCTGCGATACTGGTCCGTATATACTATATCCACCACACTACACTCTATATACACACGACACCTGGGCCTGTCCGTGCCGGGCGGCCGGCGCTGTCTGTGTCCCGACCGCATGCAGACCGCTAAACTATCCGCGGACAGACCCTGCGATACTGGTCCGTATATACTATATCCACCACACTACACTCTATATACACACGACACCTGGGCCTGTCCGTGCCGGGCGGCCGGCGCTGTCTGTGTCCCGACCGCATGCAGACCGCTAAACTATCCGCGGACAGACCCTGCGATACTGGTCCGTATATACTATATCCACCACACTACACTCTATATACACACGACACCTGGGCCTGTCCGTGCCGGGCGGCCGGCGCTGTCTGTGTCCCGACCGCATGCAGACCGCTAAACTATCCGCGGACAGACCCTGCGATACTGGTCCGTATATACTATATCCACCACACTACACTCTATATACACACGACACCTGGGCCTGTCCGTGCCGGGCGGCCGGCGCTGTCTGTGTCCCGACCGCATGCAGGCCGCTAAACTATCCGCGGACAGACCCTGCGATACTGGTCCGTATATACTATATCCACCACACTACACTCTATATACACACGACACCTGGGCCTGTCCGTGCCGGGCGGCCGGCGCTGTCTGTGTCCCGACCGCATGCAGGCCGCTAAACTATCCGCGGACAGACCCTGCGATACTGGTCCGTATATACTATATCCACCACACTACACTCTATATACACACGACACCTGGGCCTGTCCGTGCCGGGCGGCCGGCGCTGTCTGTGTCCCGACCGCATGCAGGCCGCTAAACTATCCGCGGACAGACCCTGCGATACTGGTCCGTATATACTATATCCACCACACTACACTCTATATACACACGACACCTGGGCCTGTCCGTGCCGGGCGGCCGGCGCTGTCTGTGTCCCGACCGCATGCAGGCCGCTAAACTATCCGCGGACAGACCCTGCGATACTGGTCCGTATATACTATATCCACCACACTACACTCTATATACACACGACACCTGGGCCTGTCCGTGCCGGGCGGCCGGCGCTGTCTGTGTCCCGACCGCATGCAGACCGCTAAACTATCCGCGGACAGACCCTGCGATACTGGTCCGTATATACTATATCCACCACACTACACTCTATATACACACGACACCTGGGCCTGTCCGTGCCGGGCGGCCGGCGCTGTCTGTGTCCCGACCGCATGCAGACCGCTAAACTATCCGCGGACAGACCCTGCGATACTGGTCCGTATATACTATATCCACCACACTACACTCTATATACACACGACACCTGGGCCTGTCCGTGCCGGGCGGCCGGCGCTGTCTGTGTCCCGACCGCATGCAGACCGCTAAACTATCCGCGGACAGACCCTGCGATACTGGTCCGTATATACTATATCCACCACACTACACTCTATATACACACGACACCTGGGCCTGTCCGTGCCGGGCGGCTTAACGCGCCTTCCGAAGCACGGAGGAGCTCGAGATAGCAATTTATTGTTTACCATCCAATGACCGACCACTGCAAAAGTTGCTCAAGTTCAACGTTCGCAGCCGAACGCGCTAACGAGCTCCTCCGTACTGTGTACTCATACTTATTTCTAATTTGTAAAGTTCTAAGCGTTTCCGATACTCACGTTTGCTTTCGTCCCGTCCAGCGATCGAACCACCCCGTCCTCTACCGCTGATCTGCCCGTGCGAGAACGGCGGCCATTGCGTGGAAGACGCCACCTCTCCGGGCGGGGTGCGCTGCCAGTGCCCCGGCGACGTTGGTGCGGGAGCTGACGGAGTATGCGCGGGCGCAGGCGCGGCGGCGCGGGCGGGGCGGGCGGCTGCAGTCACTGTAGCGCTGCCCGTGCTGCTAGTGCTGCTGCTGGTGCTGGCCGCCGCCGGCGCATGGTTCGTCATTAGGAAGAGGCCCTTGTAAGTATAATGCACAACATCTACTGATAACTAGGGAGAGCTCCGCGGCCCCGGGCGGAGGGTGGGGCGAGTGTATTGGAGACGCAGGTAATGGGTCACTGTGTTACTGATGCTGTTATTGGTGCTGACTGCGGCTGGCGCCTGGTTCGTTATAAGGAAGAGGCCCTTGTAAGTATAATGCACTACATCTACTGATAACTCTACAATTACGCCGTGATGTGGCATCATTAAGCGCATTCTACCGACTATACCACGGCGAGTGTTCTGAGGAGCTATTCTCGCTTATCCCTCCATCACCTTTTCTTCAGAGGACCACGCGCGCTGGCCTACGTTGCCACCGACTTACTGTGGCCACTATTCCTACACGAACCAAGAAATTTGGCGACTCATTTCTTTGTCGTACTATTCGTAAGTGGAATTCTATGCCCGCGCACGTGTTCCCTCCTTCCTATAATCTGGGGTCCTTTAAGAGAGGCGTGAAGAAGCATTTTTGCAGGCCGGCCAGGTGAGGATGGTTGGTGTAACAGTTTATAACTGCTGTACCAGCTATCTTCGCGTTTGGACTTTATCACCACTTAACATCAGGTGGGGTAGAGTCATTTGCCTACCTAATCATATATATAAAAAAAAAAAAAAACTACTAGGGAGGGCTCCGCGGCCCCGGGCGGTGTGTGGGGCGAGTGTATTGGAGACGCGGGTATGGTCACTGTGTTACTGGTGCTGCTCCTGGTGCTGACTGCGGCTGGCGCCTGGTTCGTCATTATAAAGAGGCCCTTGTATGTATAACACACTACATCTACTGATAACTACTAGAGAGGACTCCGCAGCCCCGGGCGGAGTGTGGGGCGAGTGTATTGGAGACGCGGGTATGGTCACTGTGTTACTGGTGCTGTTATTGGTGCTGACTGCGGCCGGCGCCTGGTTCGTCATTAGGAGCCCTTTGTAGGTATAATGCATCACCGCCCCCCGCGGCAACGGCTAACTGGAGCCGAGATTCGAGTCTCGGAGACGCCCTCTAGTTGAGCCAACCACCTCAGGTTCGAGTGGTCTAGAGGCTCCAGCCGGAGAGGAGACTCTCTCCGTAAGGAGATGCCATCCGCCTGGAATATCTCTAGAGGCACTCGCCAATTCTCGGCTCGAGGTTCCCTTAGGATATCGCTGTCCCCAAACCCGAGGATACTGATAAAGGTCATCTGCGACCAACAGCATACATGCTCAAAAAATAATTTAATGCATTTTAACTGCTACTGTTTCACCGCGCACACGCATGAGCACCGCAATATGACATATAGCTCGTTCTTATCACACTCAATTACCAAATTACTATAGAATTTGACAGTTCGATATGATAAAAAACGTAATGTAATGTTAATTATGGTGCTCATGCTACGGGAAACGAATGTAGCTTTGATACTAAAAAGCGCTAAAAAACTGCGCGTTCCCAGGCAGGGTTAAATGAAAATATATAAAAGACACGGTTACTAAGTACGAGTCTAATATAACCTTGCAGCCAGCTGTAGGGTATCCATGAGAATTACTCACACGCACCCCCGCTTGAGAAGAAAAAAAAATAGACACTGTAGCCCTACCTGAACTGCTGATATCTCTTATCTATTAGACAAGTCCGTCCGTCTGTCTGTGGTGCTGTTCCAGCGGCCAAACCGTAAGAGATAGATAAAGAAAATATTTAAGTTATAAGTTAAGAATAGTCTGATAAGACTACAAACCGGATTTGAGTAACGTAGCACTTCCGGTTTTCGAGAAATCACGAATTTCAAACGAAACCACACAAAATCTCCGAAGTTCTCAATTAATTAAATACATTTTGACGTGACAACGTCTTAAATTAGGTTGCGGCTGGGAGTCACTTATGAAAAAGTGTAACGCTCGGTAACGTTACGATGAGTCTCTCGTGTTAAGTTTAAGTTTACATGTACAATGTTTTAGTAAACAAAATATATTTCTATAGTTAAAATTTGTGCAATTCTTATTTTCATTCAATTCCTTGTTCCTATTGTGCAATTTAATTATATTCATATCAATAAATATTCTACCGAGAAAAAGACGTTGTCACGTAAAATCTTCGCCCGTAAAACCGACTTTACAGGCAACCATTTTTTTTTTTTTAATCAAGTTTTGGTGAACATTTGGTTTACTGGTTTGCTAGTTATTGTTATAATGCGACAAGGATCTTTATGAATGTGGCAAGAATCGGAACTAACGCCACCGTCTGTAAACGTTATATTTTGTAATTTGCATAGACAGCTACGCCCTCCTTGATCTGTCACACGCATACATTCATAAAATACCTTGTCACACTGTAATATTAGCTGCAGTGATTCGTTATCAGAAGACCCTTGTAAGTATACAAACACTATCCTATCGACCTTACCCTAGAATTCAACAAAAAAACTGATTTTGGTTTTGGATGCCAGTCGACCTAAGTCTTTTGAATAGAAGCTACTGAAGAATAACGTAATGTTTCTGATAACAGAAAAATAATAATCTACCGATTTGCACGGCGTGGAGGTGACGAAAAGGATTCCGCTCGGATGAAAGATGTGGCTTCGAATTCCTTCTAATGCCTAAACCTCGTGAATAATTTACTAGCATTTTTTTAGATTTATAAATCTAGCAATTCAGTTCTTAGCTCTAAGTACTATTGACTTCCTGGTTAAAAATAAATAAAAAATACTGACGACAGATTACCATTATTTTTATTCATGAATACTCGAATAGATTGTCGTTACATTATGCTTTTAATGTTGTGGAGTTTTTTTCGCTCGTTTTTCTCCGCAGCTAAAAAATATGTCCAATAACGAGTGGTAGGGAAAAAAAATCTTTGGACGATTCAAAAGTGTTGTACTTGTACTATACATCCAATTTGAATAAAGATATATTGATTTCTGATTGAACAATTGAAGTTTCACGAAAAATCTACTCTGTTTTTACATGCTCTAATACATGACCCGCGTCTAGGCAAACGTAGTGTAGGACGTCCTCAGGCACGATGGAGTGACGATTTGCGCAAGGTGGCTGGCAGGAGCTGGATGCGAGTAGCCCACGATCGATCTAAGTGGCGTGCATTTGGAGAGGCCTATGTCCAGCAGTGGACTAAGATAGGCTGTTGATGATGATGAATACATGACCCAGTAATCCAAAGTACATGAAGCAACAAGAACTTCAGATCTACCCATCCTCCTTTAAAATGACATGAAATGAATATGTTTCTCACAATACCATTTGTTTTTCAGCGGCAAAGGCGTCGTCGGGCTCGGCAGCCTAGCGTCGTCGCAGAGCGTGTCGTTCCGCCAGGGCTCCAACGTGGAGTTTGGCGGAGTCCCCGAGCCCGCGTACACGCTGGAGGAGGCGCCGCGCAAGGGCCGCGACTTCAGCAACCCCATGTATGATGCCGTCACGCAGCCTACCACACCCGCGGACCCGCTGCGTGAGTACCCAATATTAACCATTGTCTGAGATTCTGAGATCTAATCGAGAGAGGAACTCGATGACGCAAATTAATAACGCGTTCGAACTACCACGGCAAGTATTCTGAAGAGTTATTCTCTCTTATTCCACCTTCCCCTTTCCTTCGGACGACCACGCGCGTTGGCCTACGTTGTCACCGTCTAACTGTGGCCACAATTCCAACGCGTACAAAGAAATTTGGTGACTTATTTCTTTGTCACACTTTCCGTAAATGGAAATCTCTGCCCGCTTATAACCTGGGATCCTTTAAAAAAGGCGTGAAGAAGCAACATGCAGGCCGGCAGGGCGAGGATGGCTAGTGTGGCAGGTAGAACTGATGTATCAGCTATCTTCGCGTCTGGACTTCATCGCCACTTAACATCAGGTGGGGTGGAGTCATTTGTCGGACCTATCTATAAAAAAAAACTTGCATAGTGACATGTGAGCAATTTCCGCGGTGGTCGATCATTGGATAGGTGACCAAAAGCTTATATATCTCGAGCTCCTCCGTGCTTCTAAAGGCGCGTGTAAGCCATTGGTCCCGGCTGCATCTGCAGTCGTTAGCACCCACCAATCCATATTGGGAACGCGTGGTGGGTCACGTTCCAATCTCCATCCATAAAAAAAGCCGGGCAGTGGGGACGTTAATAAGCTGTTAATGACGAATCAAAAGCAAATATAATGTTTTTAGGTGTTAGTTTTACTTAGTTATAGTAATACAATATGTCTTAGAGCGTTCAATTTATGAAGGTAGAACTCAAATTTCTTTCGTTATCGGAAATCAAAAATGTACCTTTTTTACCTCTTCGTGCTTCGGAAGACAGGTTAAGCCGTTAGTTCTGGCTGCATCTGCCGTTAGCACTGATCAATCTGCAATCTGCAAATCGGGAAGGTCTGCCCCAGCATTGGAAATAGGCCGGTTATGATGAATATGCTCTAGAGCAGGAAAGCCCACCGGGACCTCACCATTATGTATTACGATTATAGAGTGGATTTTTACATGGTAGAATTAGAAGCTGGTTGGCTATTTAATCATTTGTAGTGCCATGTGCAACAAATTAGAAATGATTATAAAAAAAAAAGATTTTTTCGAACCAGATCCATATAGTATTAGTTACAATGGAAGCTTAAAACTATGTTAGTACAATTCAAATTTAAATTAATAATCAATTAATAAATATTAAAATGGTTATAATTTTATCGAAGTATTAATTACTCTTTAACTAAGGCCGCTAAAACCCGATTCTAAATTTATACTAACGAGATACGCACACAGACAAAACAAAATATTTTGACCAATCATATATCTGCAAATAAATTCGACTATCCATTCATTGGTTAAGATAAGTGAATCGGAAATTCTAACCAATCCCATGTTCGGCGTGTTGATCGCAGTTTTTTCGCCCCGCCTACTTGTTCGTAGTTTGCGTAGAACTCCTTTTTAGCGTAGTTCCTTTACCATATTATTTCTATTTCTAATTCGCTGGTCATAATGCCATGCTGTTTCGTAGTCCTTATGTTTGATATCTAATCATTTGTAGTGTCTTATCGTTCCGGAGGCCTCTAGGACAATGTTTGATATCTAATAATTTGTAGTATAGGTAACGGCAAACGTCATGAGCAAAATCATAGACAAATAAACTTGCGCAGTAGATGTTTTTGTATGAGAAATTGTTACCGCGCAGGGTTCTTCGTCTATGGTCGATGTTGAAGAAGCTTACCGAAGTATATGTGTATATTATGCCGTTCCGTAGGCTCATATGATTGCCCCCTCAGGTTCTAGTGGTCTAGAGGCTTCAGACGGAGAGCAAACCCCCCGTGGGGGGATGCCATCCACCTGGAATACCTCTAGAGGTACTCGCCAATTCTCGGCTTGAGGTCCCCTTAGGATCTTGCCATCCCCAAACTTGGTGACGCTGTAAAGGTTATCTACGACCAATAGCATACACACTCAAAAAAAAACATAATTATGCGGCATTTTCCGTGACGATTGTAAAAGACTTGACGGAATCACGGTCATTCCTTGGAAGCAGGGTCGTCCTCTTGTATGGGACGCAACTTGCGTGGATACACTAGCTCCGTGCCATACAGGTAGGACCTCCTTGTCGCACAGGCGCGGCGGCGGCCTCTGCCGAGTGCTCGAAGAGGCGCAAAAATTGAGCTTTCAATGAGAACTACATATTTGTGCCGTTTGGTGTTGAGACTATGGGACCATGGGGTCCAAGCGCTCGTTTCTTCTTTAAGGAATTATCTAGGAGACTCACCGAGGTGATCGGTGATCAAAAGGCTGGCTACCTTGGCCAACAGATTAGCCTTGCTATCCAACGTCGAAATGCTGCCAGCCTATCGGGCACCACTCCTGAACCATATCACGTTGGCGTTGGGGGTGGTATATTTTTTAACTTTGTAAATTGTATATTATTTATGTACTTACTTACGTCTGGTTTTTAAGTTATAAGACTTTAAGTAATTTTAAGCTTTTGTAATTTTAAATATTTCTATGTAAATATAAATTCATCATCATCATCATCATCAGCCTCTTTCATGTCCCCACTGTTGGGGCACAGGCCTTCCCTAGGGATGGAATAGGGAGATCGGGCCATGACCCACCACGCGGGCCCAGTGCGGATTGGCGGGTGCTAACGATTGCAGATGCAACCGGGACCGACGGCTTAACGTGCCTTCCGAAGCACGGAGGAACTCGAGATAGAAATTTTTGGTCACCCCTCCAATGACCGACCACTGCGAAAGTTGCTTAGCTACAACGATCGCAGCCGAACGCTCTAACCACTTGCGCCATCGAGCTCCTTCTACAGGAGCCTACATCGCGGAAGTGAAATTCGGCAGCCAACAGTTCATATATACGATGCCCGACCAATATCAGTCGGGCCGCGGCCCCCGAGTTAAGATCACCCAGCTCGGAGGAAGATCTTCCCCTTTGACCTCCCTACAGCGGTGACCCCGACGTGATTATTAGACATTGAGTACTTTTAAAGTTTTGTAATTTTAAATATATCTATCTAATATATAAAATTTTCGTGTCGCGGTGTTTGTGGTTAAACTCCTCCATATTGGGTAGGTCTCAGAATCGGATAACATCTATTTTTCATCCCCCTAAATGTTAAGGGTGATCCGCCCCTAAATTTTTTTTTCAATTTTAGATATTTTTTTTTAATTTTTTTTATGATACATCATACAAAAATACATACATCCCTAAATTTTCAACTTTCCACCACCGACCCCTATTTTTTATGGCGGTACGAAGTTCGCCGGGTCGGCTAGTGTAAATATAAATTAATTAATACCATTATGATCGTTTGTAATCGTTGCGTTTGTTCACAGCGGGCATCTACGAGGTCCCTAGCGAGGCGAAGGATAAAGTAGTGTCTGCAGTGATCTCCCCCTCGTCTACGGAGACGCGCAGCGCCCGCGCGCCGCCCGCCTCCCACCCCCACCCCCACCCCCCGCGGGCCCTCGACCCCGCCGCCGACACCGGCTCCGACACGCAGGGGCTCGTCAACGAGGACCGCGCGTGATACTAACTCATTCTTGGCTACGCACGCGCTTATACTGCGGTATAAACGCGCACGGTGATTGTGACTTGTGAAGTTAGCGCGAGTCGCAGCGCTGCTGATGAAATTTAAATCGTTTGGAGGGTTTACGGATTGAAATCTTCGCACCGTCGGGCTCGGTGCTGATTTCCACTGAACACCCCCGAAGAGACCGCATACGAAGACGGGGAGTGATCCTCGATCTGCATACGCGTCTGACTCGACCCGAAGTTATATTCCTTTTGATTATGCGTATAGCTTCAACGTCTCAATAAAATTTGCACGTAACGCGACGCCCCCTGCGTTTCCTATCAAAACGCGGTCTACCCTCTTCGTGCGCCGCCAACTTTGGCTATATGAATTCCGAACAAAACTGAAGTAATGCGATCTCTGGTGGGAAGTTAGCGACGAACCCGTCTATGCACAAGTTTCGGTCAAAACGGTTTTTAAATTTCGTTTGCTGCGCTGCGACTCGCGTTAACTTCGCAGCAACCGTTAAGCTTGTAACGCATTATACAAAGACATTGAGAATGGAATGTACAGTACCTGCATGAAATTGATCACCATAGAGACATGGTATAAAATTGTGACCAATTTATATTACTGTTGGTAGAGTAATGCACAATCCATTCTCTCTGTCTTATTTAACGGACCGACCGAGAATTATAATATATTAGATACCTTTCTCTCGTTGAGCCTCACTTACTTATTTTAACCTATCCAAAAACTATTCTAATAGTGTTCCTACACAACCACTTGTCCTGTTCTTTTACCTAAACTGGATCATTCAAATAAAGGATTATATCAAAAACTATTCCTATATTGGGTAGTAAAGAATTGACAATTTAATTTCTTTAATCCCTCCTCTCCGAAGAATTTGAAATTAACAGTACCTGTTAAACCTAACAACAGAACAGTTTACGGCGTGCCATCTGTCCAGGTTTTACGAATTAACTATATCCACTTTATTTAAATAAATGTACCATATATGTAAAAATAAAGAAATGTATATCCCTTATATATTTTGTAAAAGCTATTATATACCTACTAACTTCCTATAATAGAGGTATTTGAGAGTTTGGGTCTAATGCAACAAAATAACGTCGGAGGTCTAACGAAGTAAAAGGATCCTGCTGGATTCGCGTGCGTCCAAAATGGCGGCAACAGGAGCGAAGTTAGTCACGATAACGGAAGCGTCGCTAACGTAACACGTGTGTCTATTTCTATCTATGTGTCTATACCCGTCCAAGATATTCTTACTTCTCGTTTCAGACTGAAACTTTTGTACTTATCTATTCTTTCACGTGGCGCGTTAACGACGCTTTTTATTATGTTACGGATCGAGATGAACCATATCATTCGCGTGATATAGTCAGTTTACGGAACGTTATGTATATAGAGAGATTTATAAATTATAATTTAGAGTAAAATTTTACATTCCGACTCCGCCTCCGATGAAGCGGAGGGACTGATACTGATTTACGTACCTACGTGTTATATTTACCTATTTTTTAAATAATTATACAGTTTTACAGCTTCAACCGAACGCTCGGGGTCGTAATGGTTGCTTGTTTAATTTAATTCGTGCTGCCTTAATGTCGCAACATTCCTGAAGATCTGTAAATGTCGTTGATCTAGTAATAATGACTTAGTACATAATTAAGTAACGTAGGAATTGTTGATCGGCGCGGCCGGCGCACGCGCATGCGCTCGCGCTTAATAATAGGGTTTTAATTCGTTCGACAATAAGCAATATACTATTATAGAAAAATAATTTATTTATTTCGGTTTAAGACTATGTAAAATATAGCCGTATTGTGTTTTATAATTGTCTATTAAATGATGAAAATTTTGAATAATTTGTGGAACTCACTGACGATATGCCATAAATATGTGAGATGATAATATTTCTACTGTTATTATTATACTTAATATCTACAGTTTTTGTTAACTTGAGAACCTCCACAAGTTGTAAATAAACGTTGTTTTGTTTTTGACTTGCGAATCTTGTGATGTACAATTTTTAAAGATAAAATTTACTTATATTGCTGTTTTTTCGAATTGATATTATGAATATGTATTATATTGAGATTCCTTTGTGATTTTAACATAACATCACATTAAATTATATTTTACAATTGCTATAAAACATGTAAGTATATGAGAATTGAAGGTATAAATCTGTCAATATTATGTGAATAAGGAGATGAAATATTTTTGTATTGGGATTATAGTTATTAGACAATCGTCTGACCTTAGTTGAAACCATTGTGTAAAATAAAGAATGATGAATGAAAAATTGCTTTTTTTTAACTACCCACGCGCTACCTGCTTACTTGATCGGTTTCGATATTAGTTAAGGGAAATATTTAAATTATCATCAAAAGAGAGTATATGATCATCTATTATATACAACTAGTAACCTAAAAGGTTAGTAAATAATTTTTTAAAGGGTTAATGCACGAACTTTATTTATTTATTGACGTTTCGCAGTCTTTTCAGGTCTGCATCGTCAGAATAATGTTATTTTTTTATTTACTTTGTCGAGCTACCTTCGAAAGACTTTTATTGAGCGTTCGGATATTTCATTGGAAGATTTTTAAAACTTTATTGTCTATGTATGAATTTATTAGTTAATAAAGTACTTAATTTAAAGTGATTTTTTGTAATTTAAAAGGTTAAGTTATATTACCAGTTGTATTTTTAGGGTACCTTTTACTATTTTTTGAGATACATTTAAATATGAGCCGTTAAAGCCATAAGACCTAAAAATCTTCCACCACCGTTCTTAAACCAAATGAAATATAAAGTAAAGAAGACTGGCATTCCACCTGACATATAAACATGAAACGTAAGAGGAGAACCAGCTCCAGTAGGTACGTCTATTCGGCTACGGTTACACGTCGGGCGCCACCCAGTAACGGCTCGCCGACCGCTAGGTAATCGGATCACTAAAGTTGGTAACACCAAGGAACTTACATACTAACTGGAATGCTTACGCGACCCGCAAAATCGTTCCAAGAGCATAGCTGAATTGGTGGAATCTGTCTCGTTCTAGTAGAGTGCCAAAACAGTTGCAAGAGAGGGACAGATTCCACTTTCGTCATAGAAACAAAAATGGACTTTATGTATAACTAGTTAGAGTAGGTACATTTTATGAGTTCCCACATTGTTTCGTAAGCATTCCAGTTATTATTTAAGTTCCTTGCGTTACACCGAGTTACAGACGTGCAGGTGTTGCCTGGGGTAAGCCCCAAACACGAACATTGACAGATCCGTAATCGGATCGCTATAATTTAAATTCGGAAATAATACCTAATGGTTCCGAAATAGTACATTACGATACGCGTGACCTAAGTTGCCTATTACTGCAGTAATAGACAACTTAGGCCACAAGTATCGTATACTATTTTATAGCAAGTGTGACATAAACCCGCCTCGGACGCGGGCAAGAGTGGGCCTCCGGCCCCCCCGAGGGATGCGATTAGTGTTTTGAAAGTAAAATTTATGTATTGCAATCACAAAGAATTGCAATACAGACTGCAAGTCAAACTCTGAAAAGAAAGAATTCCGGTTCAGATTACCATTTTGAAAGTATATTTCAAAAGGAAAAAATCAAATATCATTACAACAAAATAGAATTTCAATGTATCCATGAACGTTTATTCCTTGATTGGCATAGTAAAGTTCAGTTACGCGTATCGTAATGTACTAATTCTACATGAGTGAAGTTGGTCAATTCATTTACACACCGTGCAGAAATAGGCAAAATGAATTTTATTTTCAATACACTAATCACATCCCTCCTCCCAATCGAACCCGCCCCCCCTCTTGCCCGCGTCCGGGGCGGGTTTATGTCACACTTGCTATAAAATAGTACACGATACTTGTGGCCTAAGTTGTCTATTACTGCACGGCGTTTAGCACCCTCGCTCCGCGTATCGTAATGTACTATTGTATAGAAGTAGCCAGTGGACGCGCTCACAAATAAAGCCAGAAACATATTAACTTTATTCTTTTAATTTTCTTACTCTTTACCTAAACTAAGTTTATCATTAAATGTTTCCACATATTTATTAGACGTTCCGTTGTGAAAAACTTTAATTAAATCGATTAATTAAATAAATATTTATTTTGTCTCCCACGAACGTATCCCCTTAACATACAAAGGAGATTGCTCAAATTGGCCCAAATGCACAAAAAATATTGACATATACGGTAATTCTTGGCGTAATTTATATATTATTTTACAGTCATTAGATTTTAACGGACACCTTTGTATATTCATTTTAAAAAGGACTTTTAATTTAACCGGTTTGGAAAACATACGAATCATTTTTAATGGCTATGGGTGTAGTAACATTCAGCCATAGACTGATCGAAGTGGTTTATATAACATCAAAACAAATCTATTTTGTAAAAAGCGATAAAATAAAAATAAAATATTACACTGTGGTAATAATATCCACAAGTATATTATCATTTTTACTACATGCAAATGTGCTAAGACAATTATTATAGATGGTAGGCAACATCATAAAGTCTATTGCCATACATTTTTCGTCAAACACCTCCATAAACATATTATAAGGTGTGATACACTATAAATCTAAAATATGGTTATATTAAAAACATAACAAAATAATAAGCTTTCTTTAGTTAACGAGAGTTTAAAAATTCTCTCTAATCTGAGGCTCATTCACAAATAACACACAGTTTCTGTCACGAGTACCTTTTTATAACCGAAAATGCATAGATGATACCTGATTTTAAAAGTTACTCTTATGCATTAACTGTAAAAACAGGCAACCATCTATTAATCTACATGCTTTATATACCTGAATCTAATACATAATTTCGGTACTTGGTATGATTTCCCTAGTGTGCTATATAACTTATTTGTTTTTTATTATTTTAATACCTATGTGCCTATTTGCAAACATAACCACAAAATCATTCAGTGTTTATAGTTTAAAGAAGTTCTCAGGGGTGTCCGTCAATAATATTCGTTTCTACAGTAATTTATATATAATTTCGAATCTAGGAAACAATTTTTCATGATTATTGGTCTTTAGGCCAAACATGTATGGAAGCTGAGCAATCTCCTTACCACTCCTTATTCATGGTTTCTGTATTCGCGGCATATTTCTGGCGAATCAGGAGTGGGGTATATACTATATTTACTGTAATGATAAAAAACGACGTTATGCGATTTTATAATTAATGGTTTTGAAACTTAATTATTCTCTCAGGTTGATCATAGGGAATGAAAGAGTGGATGAGAGATATATTTTGGGATTATTTGAAATTATAATTCTTTATTTATTGTATACTTCTGATATTAAATGTCAAATATTATTTGCAGAAACATTTTTTATAACCAAAAATCCAATTCAATAATCTGCCTTAAATGGATTATGTACTAACCTGCCTGCCGGGTTAAATGATACATAATGTAAAAAATTAATAACATAATTTAAATTCTGACGTAAAATTAAGAAAAGAAGAAAATATTAGTAGCTTAGGCTGTATGAACTACATTTATTTTGCCTTGCTAACGTGATTTGGATTGACTCATATGAATGACTTGAGATTGACAAAGTTTTTGGCGGAATTTCATCGAGTCCGTTGGGGTCTTATTTTAATTATTCTTTAATTCGTTCATATTGAATAGGCATTGTGAATAAAAATTGGTGTGATTTTGTGTTACAACTGTCTGCACACTTTGAAATATACGCTATTCCAGTCAAGTGGACGTGAGAACTTTATTGTAGTGTTGACTTCCTCACAGAAGCTTATCGAGAAAGCTGACTGGATACATTTCGTGCCAAACACTCCAAGAAAAGTAAAAATGCGTCACACCTATATTCTAATGTAAAAAAATAAATAAGAACAAAGTAAACTGAAGACTATGCTGTATGGGCATTGTACCCTTTGCCTTTCCTAAAGAGAGAACTTTAAAAAAAAATAAGATTGACATATCTGCGTTTTTGCCAACATTCCGATATTGTTAAATGTCAAAAATAACAACAAATATTGCCAAAATGCCAAGATAGTACAAAATTTAAATTCTTCAGCTGTTTAAGTAAATAATTCTTACGTAACAAGAGGAATTATTTCAATTGGTTCTCAGTACTTACACTGTGAGTGTGCTTCGAAACTGTATGAATTTAACATAGTTAAAAACTTGTGAACTTGAAGTTTGTAAAATTCGTGGAATTTGTGTATTCGTATTCAGTTAACCTCTTCGTAAGGTCAAACTTTATCGCTCACCCTTAAAATTCTTAATACATATCAGCCACATACAGTTAAGGAGTAAGTAAGTGTTTCGTAACATTGTTTACAATACCGAGTGTGCCGACTGCAGAGTTTTCCGATCGATCGAAACAGTGAGTTGTGAATTCGCCAGTGACTGACATTTGCGATTTTGACTATGCATTAGTTTGTGTTTATTCACCAATATTTATGCAATAATAAATTAAATTAAAGAAAAAATATATAAGATATTTATCTGTTCTAATAAGCGGCGTTTAGTGTAGGCAATAATCAGTGACGCGTAAAGAGTAGTGTGACTGACAACATGTCTCATGTGAGGTGGTTATCAGCGCGCAGCAGTCGTTTGCTGAGCAGCGTGGCGCTCAGGTCGAAAGGTTGTGGTATTTTGTCGGATTCCATAAAAACCTGCGGTATTCGCACCATGGCCAGTAAAGTTCTGACATTAGAAAATCTGAACCCTAATATAATTAAGCTGCAGTATGCCGTCCGCGGACCACTCGTCATACGAGCTGCTGAAATCGAAAAGGAACTCGAAAAGGTAATTTATTTGTTTGTTTTTAATTTATTAAAATTCTAACACAATTTGGCTGAAATAAAACAGTTATAAATTAGTTTTAATGACAGAGTATGCATACCAGCTATGGCTGGTATACTTCTTATAAAAACAATATGAAATAAATACTGCTTGATACATAACTAATTCACAATTTTACCCCTTCATAATATAGATATTTATATAAATAAAAAGTCATAAGTCTTTGTAATCCTTCTTGAGCGAAATAAATAGATTATTATTATTATATTTCAAAACATGAATCATTTTATTGCATTGTAGTTGTGTTGTTATTATATTTTTGTATGTTAGAATCACATGAAGGTAGATAGATGAGTAATATTATGACTACAATGACAAAAGTTTTAACACTTGAAGTCAAAATTAATTATTTTCTATTTTATTATGTATAATAGTAAATGTAATTTTTTAATTTCAATGCCATAAAATCAAGGTCAGCTTCCATGTTAATGTGTGGCTTATTTTGTAGTATTTGAAGTATGTTTAGTAATTTTGCAATATGTGTTTTGATTGTAATAGGCTTGAACAATTACAAACAATTAAATAAACAGTAACATTTTTATGTACCTACTATGTAATCATATTTAAGCATTCTGCTAAACTTACCAGTTAGTACAATGGTGTCGATTCTGGCATGATTCTCTATTCTTAAATTTGACAACAGTATATCCTTGTCATTCTCTACACAGAATGAAATTAAATTTAGTTTTAAGTTTAGAGAATCACGCCAGGATCGACACCAATGGTATTGAATATAATAAAATTAGCTTAGCATCATAAAATCACATTTGGAAAAGCATTCATTGTTTTATGATTCACTTTGAATTCACCTTATCGCATTTAAAAAGATGTGATTACTTAAGTAATTGTTACATAAACAAGTAACTCATAAAAAGTCATCGCACCATATGTTGGTGATAAGATTATCTGTTATCTGCACCACTGATACAGATAATTCAAACTTAAGGTTTATGACATTAAGATGTGTAAGATATAAACATTAAGTATATTTTACAGGGTGCACAGAAACCTTTTAAAAGAGTCATTAAAGCTAACATCGGAGATGCCCATGCTATGGGGCAAAGCCCCATTACATTCATCAGAGAGGTGGGTATTTATAACATTATAAAGTTTAAATATGAATTAGCTCTTAATATAGTCGTAGTATTATAATTATTTGCTAGTAATAATAGTACACTTTTATTCTTAAATCAAACTGACTCATATTAAGATATGCATATAAGCAAATATATTAGTAGTCTTAGTCTTTTAAGGGTTCTGTAGCTTACAAATAAATAAAGTTTTGCTATGTCTCTTCACCTGCATATTGGCAGCTATTATTACTAGAAAGCTGTAATTTGGCACATGAATATGCATATTAGTCACTTCGTCAAAGTGGTTCACTAAAATCTTGAATAATCTTTTTAGCTACAGACAGTAATTATTCACTTATAGGAGGATTAATGGGAAATATTTCACAGTATGGTATAATTGTGTAAAAACCAGAGAATCTTTATACAAATCAGATTTTTTTCCAATAGCAACTTAATGCAATTTCGTATTTTACATGAGTTTATTTATGCAAAGTGCATTGCACAATAACAACAATGTTGCAGTGACCAGTTATAAGTATTTCATTCTACAGTAGATGCTCTCTTGGGGGTTTATGTAACAGTTCTATTTCTGTGTTTCATTTCTATAAAGAGCTCATCCCTTTGTATTTGACAACTTGAGTTGAAATAAGCTAATATAAATTTGTTGGATCAAATGTATATGTATCATTAGAGATCTTAAAATCATTTATACCATTGTTTCTTTTAGGTGTTGGCATGTGTAGCTCTGCCAGAGCTGATCAAAACTGGGAATTTCCCTGAGGATGTCAAAAAAAGGGCCACAGAACTCCTCAATGGGATGGGGTAAGAATTATTTATGTATTTTTTATTAGCAAATGATTAATATTTAAATCAATCTTTGCTAACAATGTAGTTTTAATGTTCAAAAGATTAGGATGAGTATTACTAATGCAAATTATATGTGAAAACATTTGCTTTAAATACTCCTGAATGAAACTGATGTATTAAAAATTTTATTATTAAAGATGTTGATGTTACTAGATTTTAGTTATTTCCAGAGTAACTTCTGGGATGTTATGTATTGTTTATATGAACTCGACGAGTCTAGGCTTGAAGATAGTATGATTTTACCACAGCAGCCATCCTTACCTTGCCAGTCAGCAATGTTGCTTTTTTACCTATTTTTTGAAAAACTCGCAGTTGCCGGTATTCGGGAACCCACTCTTGGAACAAGAACTTATAGTAGAGAAAAAATGATTGACAAAATTAAATAACAGAGCGCCATAAGGCACGTCGTACATATTTACATGACAGGAAATTGAAGGTTCTGTAATTTTCTGGAACTGGCGTGCTAGGAATGGGAGAACTCACGCAATGCGTCGCAGTTGCGGGACAACAAGTTAGACTGGTCAAACACCAGTGTGGGTTTTGTAGTCGTGATATTGTCTGCAGGGGTAGGTCGGCGGGCGCGTACACGATGTCTCACGGGGTGGAGTACATCCGTCGTCAGGTGGCCGCGTACATAGAGCGGCGGGACGGGTTCGAGTCCCGGTGGCAGGACGTGTGCCTGTCGGGCGGCGCCTCCAACGCCATCAAGAACGTGCTGCAGCTCTTCTGCAACCAGGTCGACGGGAAACCCTCCGGTGAGTTGCTAACCTATCTATATGTCATACATTTGTATAATGCTGACCTTCTACTTAAACCATACAGAAAGAGCTTGTCCCAACACAATCTATGCTATTCTATTTATTAACAAAATATTGAGAAAGCATAAATTACACTTTATTTTAAAATTAGACATCAATTTTTATCATAGTATACCAAAAGGTGCACAAGCCTGTAGTTTTATAAAAGTTAATGTCAATGTAAGTACTAATAGACCAATATTACTTAATACTTGTTTTCATGTACACACGATTCAGTAGGTGCAAGGCCGAACATTTATTCTGGCAGGGTCGCCATCCACGGTTGTCGTAGGAGCCGTTGATTAAAAAAGTTATGAAACTAATAAAACTATTTATTTATTCCTTTAAGATTACATATTTACTATTCTATGTCTTAATTATTAATGCCGTCGCGACTCACGCGCGTTACTTAATATTAATCAATATTGCTTACTTACTAAATACACTTATTATACACTACAAATTTCTTACTGACTACTTTCTAAAATGTTTGAAATTGTAAATATATTTTATTTCGCATTTGAAATTTCTTCAATTAAATAAATAAATGAAATGAAATTTCTCAACTACACCACATTTTGCAGCTCATGTTAAAAAGGAAGAAAAATTCTAGAGTCCATAAATACCATGTCATATGTATAGTTTAGTGTTGTGTCTGCGCCTGCGACGGTCGTGAGACTCGAGCGAGCATGTGACTGTCACTTCCGGTCATCTGTAGTCAAAGTATACGCCTCGTTGAGACGATACCTGGCTAGAAAACGACATCAATAGATTTCTAGCTCAGATCACGCGATATTTATGTCCCTATGTTCTGACATTTGACAAAGAATACATTGCCTCTATGAAATTAAATTAATAAAATATCAAATTGCATTCGGATAAGTTACAAGTTCAGGAGCTCGATGGCGCGGGTGGTTAGCGCGTTCGGCTGCGATCGTTGAAGTTAAGCAACTTTCGCAGTGGTCGGTCATTGGATGGGTTAGCAAAAATCTTCTATCCCGAGTTCCTCCGTGCTTCGGAAGGCACGTTAAGCCGTTGGTCCCGGCTGCATCTGCAGTCGTTAGCACCCGCCAATCCGCACTGGGCCCGCGTGGTGGGCCATCTCAATCTCTCTATTCCATCAATGGAAGACCTGTGCCCCAGCAGTGGGGACATTAATAGGTTGATGATGAAGTTACAAATTATAGGAACTTATCAGAATTTGTAATACGGCTACTATTTAACGTAAAATGTAGCCAATAACATAAATAAAAAATTGTGTGTGTCAGCTCCGACGCACGAATGAAGTTTATATATATTTAATTTTTTATTTAAAATATAATATTATCTTAATAATTAACAAAAATGGTTATAAAAAGATAATTATGTCACTAAATCTTTTACGTACAATAATAAGACACATGGACGTTCGTAGATACGTGGTTCACGAATCTTGAAAATACCGCATCAATGGTTGTACCATACCTCGTTGTCCCCATTGCTCTATCAGAAAATATATCTAAATTCAGTTCAGATTTTAAAATTTTTATTAATGTCAATCCGTCATCTTTGTTTGCCAAAGTTGCGCGACATAGGATGCGCACCAAAAACGTAACGAGGTCATTCATGGATAGATTTTACTCCTCACATTTTTCTCATACCGGGCCCCTTATATATGCAAATCGATTCTTAAGGAGTAAACTCCAAAAACTGCACAGTTAGCTTCACGCAAGGGACATTATATTTTATTGTTACCTACTTTTTTGTAATAATTATATTTAATCAGTCTCAAACCCAAATGAAATGTTTGCCATGATTGTTCCGAAACGGATGTGTTTGCGTATAAAAACTTAACCGGCTTCTATGAAGTTGTAACATTCAAGTGTCATAACTGTGACCTCGTCATAATATGTTTGCGAAGTAGAACTGTTGCAAAATTCACGTTTGCTGCATTAAAAAGGGTTGTCAACTCATCAGGATTTATATTAATTTACAAGTGAGCCTGGTCGATTCATTATTATTCATGGTACTTTTTTGCGTTTACTTGATTTTCATTTAAAATCACGTTTAGAATCGAAATTACCTCTAAGTGGGCGGGTGCATGGAGTATCTATTATCCTGCACTACACAATATAATATGAGTCATGTTTGGCGTGGTTGATTCCCAACAAGGGGCTCACGTCGTCGTCACCAGCAAGGAGAGGCACACCCCGGAGATTTAGTGGTTATGCCCATACCGAGCAGCCATTGAATCAGCCTTAGGATTGGCTGAATGGAAGGGCGAGAGGTGGGGAAACAGTACCCTTAGTACGAGTTTTACAATTACGAAAAGTATGATAGTTTTCGTGAGCTCGAACTCGTACTAAAGGTACAGGAGGTCCACTCTTTTTCTCCGAAACGAACTTTCGATAACGAAGTTCAAACGAAATTTAATTTCGTCAATTTAAGGTTATACTTAATTTGAACGATAATCTATCAAATTGAAGCTTCCTTTGCTTAAAATAGGCTAGTAGGCTTAGAAATTCTACACCTCAATCTATATACCGACGACGAATATTATTATAATTAAAAACGAACCAGAAACATAGTAAGAAGAGAGCGAAGTTGCGATCGAAATTTCGTTATTCGTTGAATTAGAGTAGGCCTCCTGATTTTATTGTTTTCGTTTCAATACAAATAAACAGTGTTTAAATTCTATCATTAAATCATTTGCGTCTTCTTAAATTTTAAGTATATTTGGTTACTTATCATCAAAATGGACATAGAAACATAATTTACAATTACGAAAACTATGATAGATTTTGTGAGCTCAAACTCTTACTAAGGGTACAGTTCCACGTACCTCGTCGCCTCACACAGCGGCGGGTTATGCGTAACGCATTTCTCCCGATAAAAAAAGAGATATGTCACGAGACGCCTGGCAGATATAAAACATCAACATTATTTTGTAAAAGTAAAATGCAGAAAAGAACAGATTGCGATAGGTGCTAAATATGGCATAACGATAAAATATTACGATTTTTTTACAGAAAATGATGACTGTTTATTTAATTAACATTTATTTTCATTAAATACAAAAATCGAATTCGATTGCGTATGGCGACGCGTCACCATACCATACACACTACTGCATATAGATTGTATGTATACCATCATATAGCGTAGCGACGCGTCGCACAGTGGGCGGGAACGATCAAAGCTACGCGCGAGGCAGTAAATCTAATCCAAATGAAATCATATTTGTTTCTTAGGTTTTCACGCACATCACTCATTAAATAAAACTAGTTTTTACGGGTTAATGCACGAAACTTTATTTATTTATTGACGTTTCGTAGCCTTTACAGGCTTCGTCGTCAGAATAAAACTTTTATTTAATTTGTCGAGCTACCTTCAAAATCATATTTTTTTAAATACTCGTAATAATTATGTGTGCTTTTTTGTAGCACTGCGAAAATTCAAGGAAAAGGGTAAGAAATCACCCATATCAACCTCTAAGCAAGCTAAACCACCAGATTCTGGGTAAATGTTAATGGTATAGTGGGAATGAGGTGTATCGGGGTTGAGGTAGGCTAGCCCATCTGTGGATAAAATATATATTTCTTTATATAGAGGTTGATAGGGGTGGTTTCTATCCATAAAAAATGAATTTTGAATTTCCGCAGTGCTACAAAAAAGCACACAATTACGAGTATTTAAAAAAAATATGATTTCATTTGGATTAGATTTACTGCCTCGCGCGTAGTTTTGATCGTTTCCGCCTACTGTGCGTCGCCACGGCATGAGTCGCCACGCCAGAAATCGGTTTTACGTGCGCCTATAGATGTTTCACATCAAAAGGTAGAGAAATGCTGAAGAAAGGTAGTAGTAGGAAGCCATCCTTTGTTTGTCTGCCTCAACACCATCCCTTACTCGCCAATAGAAACTAGACTTGGGGCTTTTGCTGTGTTCTTCTGGAAGGTGGAGGTTTCTTCCACAAACGATCGCTCTTCGTTAAGCGGGAATTTGGCAATGTCCTACTACGGCTACCTTACCTTCAATAAAAACCATAATAATTTTGGATTTTATTTCAATGTTTCAAGCAGCGGCAACCCTTTGCGCATAATCAGTATGTGCAAATCTCAAGTCAACCTTCAGGCGAAGTTAATATTAGGTAATCTGCCATTCAGGTTGATGTGAAATGAGGGTGTTTATGAAAATTTACGTCACCAGTTGGCGCCACTGTGCCACGAGGTCTTTTTCATGAAGTTTTTGGCGCGAACTAATCGAACGAGCGCTTATGGTAGCCATACACACTACGAGAAATCGTTGCGATCAGACTGTACAGTTCGAACGGAACAGTTTATACAATTGGCGTACGTATAGGAAACTGTGCAGTTTTATAACATACACGCTACGATTTATCGGTACCGTTCGAACTGTACAGTCTGATCGTAACGATTTCTCGTAGTGTGTATGGCTACCATTAAATTGATCCACAGACTATGAGAACATATGCGATTTGACGGATGACGTTCGAACTGTACAGTCTGATCGTAACGATATCTCGTAGTGTGTATGGCTACCATTAAATTGATCCACAGACTATGAGAACATATGCGATTTCACGGATGACGTTCGAACTGTACAGTCTGATCGTAACGATATCTCGTAGTGTGTATGGCTACCATTAAATTGATCCACAGACTATGAGAACATATGCGATTTGACGGATGACGTTCGAACTGTACAGTCTGATCGTAACGATTTCTCGTAGTGTGTATGGCTACCATTAAATTGATCCACAGACTATGAGAACATATGCGATTTGACGGATGAGTAGATCTTTCGTCTCAGTACTGCCACCGGGTGCCCGTCATCCAGAAAACCCCCATTGCAGAAAATGACAGTCGTTAATAAAGTAGACGGACTGTTAAAAGGGAAAAAAGGAGGAGCTCGATGGCGCAGGTGGTTAGCGCGTTCGGCTGCGATCGTTGTAGTTA